GCGGCCCCGGTCAAGAGACATGGGAAGGCGGCGGCCAGCGGGGAGGCCGAGGAAAGGTGTCCACGGAAGGCAGAACGAGGCGGCCACCGGGGGACCCGAGGGACACGGGGGGCCCAGGCCTCCGGTCAGCCCAGCCCCGCAGCTGGCAGCCGCGCCCTGCCATCCCTCCCCGAAGGGCCCTGGGGGCAGGGACACGGCCCCGCAGCACCCTGAACCCCCCGTGACGGGCAGATCGCCCAGCACCTCCCTGGTGGGGGCACCTCACCCCCCCACCCCCGCCAGCATCCAGGCCTCACCAGGGCCACCTCCTGCGCTTCGCGACTCACCAACCACCGTCGCAGCCTCGGACGCCTCATGGGGGAGGCAGCGGGTGCCGACTGGCTCCGGGGCCCACGACCCACCCACCCGCCCATGGACCCCCAGCCCTGCAGCCGCTGCTGCTCTCCGGGCCACCAAGCAAGGGGAGCCACGGAGCAGGGACGAGGGGTCTCCCTCGGGACCCGGGTTTTCGGATTGCCCGATGACCCTGAGGGCAGGAGAGCTTCCCGGGGCCCCCTCCCCTGCTCCCCTGCTGACACCCCCGGGACCCCGGCCCCGCTGAGCACAGTCCCGTCGCCTTGGGAGCTGGGGCCTAGGGCACCCGGGCCTCCCCCACAGAAGGCAGGGGACGGCTGGTGGCTTCTTTTTTTTTTTTTTTTAATTATTTATTTATGATAGAGACGGGGTGGGGGTGGGGGGTTGGCCAGAGACACAGGCAGAGGGAGAAGCAGGCTCCATGCAGGGAGCCCGACGTGGGACTCGATCCCGGGACTCCAGGATCACGCCCTGGGCCAAAGGCAGGCGCCAAACCGTTGAGCCACCCAGGGATCCCCCCTGGCTGGTGGCTTCTGCGGATGGGGAGAGCAGCCCACTGCCAGCCGCGGTCAGGGCTCAGCCTGGTGTCATGACAGGGGGTTACCCCAGAGGCCACCCGGGCCACCACCAGCCACCCGTCAGAGCCCCCCATCACCCCACTGGCCACAGACGGCTCCGCGGAGGCTGGCTTCCCCCCACAACCTCCTGTTCCGTCTGGCCGGCCGCCATCCTCACTGTGGGTCCGGGAAGGCCCTGGTCACCGCAGGCCGCGGCAGGCTCGGTCCTCCGGGCGCCTCCTCGCAGGGGGCACGGCTCAGGACTGCTGCTCGCACCTGCAGCGCCCGCGGCGGCCGGGCAGCGAGGCTCTGAGCCCATGCACTCGGCAGCCCATACCCTCTCCTCCCGGGGTGCGGGGGGCAAGGACGTGTGGACTCAGGCTGGGCGCCGCGCACTGACCTAGTGACAGGCTGGGGCAGGGGGCTTGTGCAGCCGATCACAACCGTCACATCTGAGCAGCGAGGGCCCCTACCTCCCACTGGCACTGTCCCCCCCTACGGAGGACAAATCGGGCTGCAGAAGTGAGGGGACACGCCCAAGGTCACCGTCAGGAAGCCGCCAACCGTGTGGGGAGGGTCTGACCCCCTGACTTGGGTGCCCAGTAGAAACTTCCATTGCACCAAAATCTTGTCTATTCTCAGACCATCAGAATGCTGAGTTCCAACAGCACACAGGGAAATAATTCTGGGAAATGCAGCGTTTCGCTGTTCTCTGGGCCATGCACAGCCCTCGCCCACGAGGACCGCCCGACCCCCAGGGAGCCCCCCGCCGGACGCCCCCTGGGAGACGCTTCTGTTCCCTGGGACATTGCGAGGGTCCCTTGGGAGGCCGGCCAGTGTTCATTCCTGCACGCGCTCCCCATCTGTCCCCAGGGCTGGGGACCCACAGCTGCTGACGGGTGGACAAAGGCCCAGGATGAGCAGGTCACAGCGCCCCCAGTCACTCCCCACGGCCCATCCCAGGCCCCCGCGATCTGCACACCAGCCACGTCACAGCTCTGCTGCAGCGCCGGACTCCCGGGACGCACTCCCTTCGGGTCCCAGGGCTGTGTGGCCGGTCTCCCCCGGACCCAGGGGCTCACCCACCTACCCACTGCCCCACCTCCTGCCACGTGCTGTCCCAGGACGGAGCTGCGGCCGGGTCTGGGCCCGGTGCCCGCCCCGAGCATCCACCAGAGAATGAGGCCGCGGCGCACACAGGGGCTCAGCCCGAGGCCTGAGCCCGAGTTCAGGGTAGGGAGGGAGCTCTGGGCAGGGGCAGCGGCATGGATCGGGACCGGGGCCGAGGACCGTGAGCAGGTGTGAGACCCAGGCAGAGGCTTCCGTGGGGCTGGCCGCTGCTCCGAGGGACGGGACGGGAGGCGCCCCGACACCCAGCTCCCACGGGGCCCTGGGGGACAGGACCCTGCTGTCACCGTGGCTGGCTTCCCTGCCCGGCATACAGCAGGAGCTCAATGCACGTGTGCAAACGGGGGCGAGGGGGGCATGTGTGTGAATGGACGCCTGTGTGGGGTCTGTGCTCTCGTAGGGGCAACAGAGCTCAGGCCGGATTTATTTTTAAGTTTCTTTAAGTCGTCTCCTCCCCCAACATGGGGCTCGAACTCACCACCCTGAGATCAAGAGTCACGCACTCCCGGACCTGAGCCCCCGGGCGCCCCTGTTCTTATTTCTAAGTGACAAACACTCAACATCATTTGGGGAAGACGTAGGCGATCTTGCTTTTTCCCTTTGGCATTCACGCCACATCCTCGGAGGGGGAGAAACACTAGTGTGCACCCCAACGCGAGGCTCCCTTGCTCGGGGGAGTGAAAGCATCCATTACCACCTCGACGCAGGTGGGAAGCCAGGCAGGAAGACCACACTGGGTCCTGAATACAGGTTAGCCGCTACTTGTGAGAAAACAGGAGGAAAAAAAAAATTCCAACAAAGAAAAAAAATACTCCCTCCGCTCTCAGAAAGCCAGCACATTCTAGTGGGGGGCACACGCTCAGCAAGGGAGCTCCCGGTCAGGGACTTAGGAACACATAAGGGCCCAGAGGGACACAGGCAGGGGCGACGCAGAAGGCTGAGCAGGGGTCGGAAGATGTGAAGGCAGGGGACAGGGAGAGACCCGGGCAGTCCTAAGTGGGGACGGGGAGGCAGAATGGCTGCGGGGGGCAGGACAGCGGTGGGAGGGGCTGCGGCCACATGAAGTGGGCCTGGAAGACATGAAACTCCATCCAGGGGTCTCAGCCTGTGGCCTTCATTCTTGGGGGCCCCGGGGTTGGAAGAAGCCTATGCCCCACCTGAAGCAGTCACCCGGAACAGCTCAGGAGAGGCGGCGCGGGCAGGCCAGGGGCCCAGGGCGAACCCTCCTCGGCCCCCCGAAACGTCGGCAGGCAGACCCACAGCAAAGACCAGGCCAAGCCTCGCCACCCCAGCCGATCGTTCCCCGTGGCCCCAAGGAAACCACCACGGAGGCCACCGCTGAGACCGCGGGGGGCCCAGAGCTCCGGGGTCAGTACACCGAAGTCGGGGAGCCTTAGGGTAAGACGTCCGGGTCTCAGAGCACCTGAGCTCTGGTTGAGCGTCTGCCTTCAGCTCAGGCCATGATCCTGGGGTCCTGGGATCGAGTCCCCCCACTGGGCTTCCTGCTCAGCGGGGAGCCTTCTGCTCCCTCTCCCTGTGCCCCTCCCCTGCTTGTGCCTGCGCGCGCGCTCTCTCTCTCTCTCTCTAATAAATTGTGTGTCTCGTTAATTCTAAGATGCAATTTCTTTCACATTTTAACATCTCTGAGATTAGCACCATCTCACAGCCCGAGTGCAGACCCATTTTTCCTGCTGGTACACAAAGCAAGGCTGAGTCTATCGATGGCGTCAGGGTGTCTGGAGACGGTGGGTGGGGGTTCTTGCACACAGGAGTGACTGGAAGCAAACGGGTGAAACCTACGTTTTTCAAAAGAACTGTGTCTCCAGAGAAATCACTTACCCTGAGGCTTTAATGGACCCAGCATAAAAAGAAAGAAAGAAAAGAAAAATAGAAAAAGAAAGAAAAATCAGGACTTTTATGGGAAATGTTTGTGTTGTTCAAACTGTTCCTCCTCCGGCTCAGCTAAACTTCTAAGCTGCTCTCAGCTGTAAATTCATTATTTTTGTTTGGCAAAAGGTTTCCAGATGCTCTACTCCCTCTAGCCAAAGAATTTCTAACAAAACCACTGACTCCCACGGGCCCTATGACTTCAAATTACATGTGAATAATATCAAAAAAGCAAACAACCCGATTTAAAAATGAACAGAGGACTTGAACGCGCGTTTCTCCTAAGACCTACAAACGGCCCACGAGCGCAAGAAGAGCGGTTCCCCGTCACTCATCATCAGAGAAATACACGCCAAAGCCACGAGATAGCACCTTGCGCTCACGAGGATGGCTATTATCAAAAAGGCAGAAGACAAACACCGGTGTGGACGTGGAGAAACCGGGACCCACGGAAGCCCCCGGGAGCTGGGGATCGCTTGCGGCAGCAGAAGCCTCCCCGCCCTGACACGTGGGCCCTGAGCAACGGGCTGACGGAGCTTCCCGGCATCGCGGCTCTAGTGGAAGCCACAGGAGACCACAACCCTCGTTCGGCCTCCAGGCTGAGAAACCTCAGAAAAGCCATGTGCCTCCTCTGGGCTCTGGTTCCCCATTTACTCCACTTTTATCCTCAAAACCAGGATTTCAGGAGAAAGACACTGGCCGTTGATCTGGGCTCTCGGCCCGTCCACCCTCCAGCTACCCGCCCGGCCCCGACCACGGCCCCGACCACCTGTGGCTCCGGGGGCTTGGCTAGAGAGGGCCTCGGAGGAGCCTGGGGCCCTGGACCCCAGCTTTAGGAACCAGGGGGGAGAACTCACTCACCGCCCGCTGTCTGCAGGGGTCAGCCTGTGGCCCTGAGCCCCCACCCCAGAGGCCGCCCACCCAGGGCTGGGAGCTGCAGGTACACCCAGGCATTGGATCTACCCCACCCAGCGTCAGACGCCCTGTCCCCGGGGTGGGCAGGCGCTGCCAGGGTACCTCCCGGACACCGAGGGCAACAGCAGGACAGACCCAGCACACAGGGCAACCTGGAGCTACAGACAAGGATGGGCTTTATTTACAAACATGTCACCTCCCCAGCTCTGTCCCCAAGAGGGACAAGGGCCTGGGTCCCTCCACCTGCCCAACCTAGGAGGCCAGAGCTTAAGTGCACCTGCAGCTGAGGCCGGGCAGGGCTCCCTCCTCGGGTGCCCTAACGGAGAAGACGGGTTACAGCTGGTGGCCGCGGCTCCATCCTCCTCTAAATGGCCAGTCCTCAGGGCTTCACAGGGGGCGCAGGCCTGGGGTCCTGACCACACTGGGGTGCAGGGTGGGACCCGTGTTGGCAGGGCCTGGATGGTCACCCTCCGTTCCCCCCTTATCCCCATCTGGATTGTAGAGTCTGGGTCACCTTCCCGGGTGGGGTAGGGCGGCTGGCAGGGAGCAGAAGAGCCTGAAGGGGGGTGCCGTGGGCTGGGAGGACGGGCCCCTGCAGAGACGCTCCTGGCTCTGCTCCCCCTGCCCCCTCCCACCCCCGGGGGCTCTGCAGACCCCAGGCCTGCTCCAAGGCATGTCCGTCCTGGGGCACCCTGACCATACCAGGTGGGAAGGGCTGGCAGCGGGCAGCTTCCGGTGCTGGGCCTCGGAGGACACACAGGACCAGAGGTCCAGGCTCCTGGGGGCTGAGCTCTTCTCGGATTTGGGAGGGAAAATGTCCCAGCCCAGCAGGCAGTGCTGTGGACAGCAAGGGTTAAGGCATCTGGCCTGTGGCAGGGCTCCCTTCCAGGGGGGCGCACCCCGGGGAGGGGGCTGTGTCCACACACTGGGGGACCCCAGGCCCTGGCCCCGACCTGAGACAGGAGGGGGAAGTCCATGGACAGTGGCTGAGCACTTCCCGGGCACCACATGTTCCCCATGGCCCAGAAGTACCGATTCACTGAAGGGCCCCACTCACCCCACTGGTCTGAGGACCATAGGCTGTACCCATTTTACAGATGAGCACCCCTTCCCCTCCCCACTGACCCCCACCCTGGCCAGGAGACACGAAGAACGTTTCCACGGGAGGCACCAGGAACTGGAAGGGCCTGCTCACATCTCTGCTCTGCCACCTGCTGACCTGAGCCCAGGCACCTCCCTCTGCCTCAGTCTCCTTATCTGAACCGCGGGAGGCTCCAGGACCTGCGCTCCTGGTTGCCGTGAGGGCTCCATGAGCCAAGCCTCCGAGGGGCCGCGCACAGCACACAGGAGCTCCAAGAAGGCGGCCCACGTACGAGGGGTGGGCGAGCACGCAGACCAGCCGCGATGGGAGCGGCCCGGCCTCGCTGTGTGGCCCTGGGACAGTCTCAGCCCTCCCTGGGCCTCAGAAGCCATCTGGGGACCTGCCTCCGAGCCCAGCTCCACCCGGGCCCCATGTGGCCGCTCACCCGGGGCAGAGCCAGCGTGTCAGAGGCGTCGAAGCTCTTCCGCCGGTGGATGCGGTACTGGTGTGGAGGGTGGAGGACGGACAGCGGGATGCTCACCCTGCGGGAGGGGGCGGAGAGGAGGCACTGCGGGGCCAGCATCCCAGGCCCGCCCTGCCCCCCTCGGGACTGGCCCGGCCTCAGGCTGGCTCCCCTCCTTGGCCGCCGCTGTGCTGCCCCCAGTACCTGCCTGCTCTGGCCACTCACCTGACATGCGCGGGCTCCAGCAGGGTCTCAGGGCCCCTCTGGTCCCGGGGGGTCTTGCACAGGCGGCAGGGGACGCCGGGGTCGGAAGGCACCAGAAACAGGCGTCGGTTGACGTGGTAACAGTACACACCTGCGGGGCCATGAGCAGCAGCTCCCCTCAGCTGGGCCCCCACCTCCCCGAGCCCCTGCTGCCCCACCCCACACGCACAGACACGTACGGGTGCACACACACACACACATACACGACACAGACGTGCACGTGTGCTCACGTGACGAAACCAGCGGGACACAGGCTGGTGCCCTCACACAAACGGGCATTTTCACACCCGTGTGCAGGCGTGACACACGGCTTCATGCCACACTAGTGAACACACACGCACACCTGTAGCAGTCATCACACACAGCACACATGCGCCATCCACACGCGTGTGCACACATGCTACACGTGCGGACCCGAAGCAAAGACAGGCGCGGAGGAAAGAGGCGGCCGGGGCGGGGAGGTGGGCGACACAGGGCCAGCCTGGTCCTGCAGGGCCTGGCCTCAGCTGCCCCGCAGCCCCCCAAGGTCTGCCTCACTGCACCTGGTCCCCAGGCCCCCCAGGTCCCCGCTGCCTCCCTGGGCGCCTGGTGAGAACAACCACTCACATGCATGTTCTTCCTCCACGCTGCGGCTCTCCCGCACGCCTGGGGGCCGGGGCCTGTGAGGGGAGAGGGCTGAGCGCGAGCGGGTGGGGGGGGGCCCGAGCCGCCCTCCCACCCCTCGCCACCCCTCGCCACCCCTGCTCACTCAGGGTCACTGTGAACACACTCCTCCTTGTTGGCCTCCCGGAAATCCTTCAGCTCCGAGAAGAAGGCATCGGGCTTGCTGGTGACGGGGGAGCTGTTGTCCAGCGACCCTGGAGGGGGCGAGTGGCGGCGCTGCTGTGTGGCCATGGGCCGGGGCCGGGGTGGGGGGGCGGGGGCGGCACTTGGGGCAACCCGCTTTGCCCCGCTGCCTCACATGACACACCAGCGGGGGCGCCCCACGCACCGCGACCGCCAGCTCCCCACCAAGCGAGTCGGCCCTCACGCCTGTCCCACCGTCCGTGCAGCGAACAAGCACAGCGAACAAGCATGGATGGACGGAGCCAGCGCGGGAGGAGGGAACTAGATGGGTCGGCCTCGCAGGCCTCACGAGGAGGCGGTGGGGGTGACCCAGGCTCCTAAGAAACCTGAGACACGACATTGCGGGGTGACACCTGCTAGGAGGTAAGAGCCCTCAGGGGAGCATGTGACCCTGCTTGCCGTGGACAGGACGGCTCAGCGGGCGGCAGACTAAGAAAACGCAATCGGAGCTGGAAAGAGTGAGTATAGATGGTCCTGGCGGGAGTTGTTCCCACGCCCAGCAGAGGGAAGGGCCGGAACCAGGAGCCAGGAGCATGCAGAACGCAGAAGGGGGGGTGGTGAGACAGAGAGGGGGGGAGCAAGGGGGAGAAGTCACACGCCTCCCACTGGGCGTCTCAGAGGCAGCGGGGCCTCCGCGGTGCTCGGTCCTCGGGGCCAGCGCACAGCAGCCCCACCGACCGAATCGGATCACCAGGAAGCACAGGACAGGACGGGGTAACGGCGAGGGACGCGCACGGCACAGCGCCCTGTTCTCCGCCATCCTATGCTGATGGCATGGGGGACGGACCCATGGCAGGCACCTCCTCCGGGAAGCAGGCGGTGAGCTGACGGGGCCAGGCAACCCTGGGGACAGGGCCCGCGTCCCCACCACCGCGGGGTCCCAGCAACCCCCGGGAGCACCTGCCTTCAGGAGGGAACTCCACCTCTCCGTGCCTCAGTTTCCTCCTTTGTGAAACGGGGAGCCACACAGCAAGGAGCCCTTACAAGTGCTGGGTGAGGGCCTACTACGCCTCGCGCACCGCTGAGCTCGGGCTCCAGAGCTTCGGCAAGAGGACGGCTACGGCGCTCGGGGGAAGCGAACGCCTATCGCGGACGTCAGCTAAGAAACAGGGAAACGGGGCGACTCCCGAGAGCGAGCGATACAGAGACTGTCCAAATGACTTGCGCCACGGGGGTGGGGGGGGTGGTGGTGACTACGACATCATGTTCACCGAAGGCCCCGCCTCTGAGCTGCGCCCTCCATGGTGAAAAGGAACCAGAGGGTGTGAACCTGGGAAGTGCTCCCCAGGCAGCGGGAACACAAGTGCAAAGGCCCCACAGTGACCACGAGGGCTGCAGGTTCGAGGACCGGCAACAGACCTGGTCGGTCTAGATAAGGATGTTGGATTTTATTCGGAGCGCCCAGTCCTCTGACCCCCGTGATTAAGACTTCATTCTGGCTGCTGCGTCAGAAATGGACAGTGATGGGGAGACGAAGCCGGAGGACCTGCCAGGCCTCTGAGGTTGCTGGGGGAGAGGGTCCCGGGGGGCAGGACAGTGTAAAGGGTCGACATGCACACAGACCGGGCCCGACCTGGTACCCACGCACAGCAGGGCAGCGCTGGCTCGGCGTGGGGAGCTCCGGCAGCACCGAGGCGCCGTACCTGCGATCCAGTCGTAGCCCAAGTAGGGCCTGAGGCGCCAGATCCCATCAGGCACTGCACACTCCTCACGGAAGGTCACTCTCGACTGGGGAGGGAGACAGAGGCAAGGGCTAGGCGTGCGGGCCCGGCCCGAAGGAGGCTCCAGGGCTTGGGAGCTGGAAGACAAGACTTTGGCCCCAAACCCCATTGGTGTGTGACTCTGAACAAGGGTGGCCTCTGAGCCTCGGTCCTCCCATCTGTATAACGGGTTCATCACCTTCTTCCCAAAGCGCTGAGAGACTAACGGCCACCACTTCTCAGCACTTCAGCTGAGCTGGACACGCCCTAGGTACCTCCAGGAAGCCCCCCACCCTGGAGGGGAGCTGCTGCCGAGGGCATTCGTCAGACGGGGACAGTCAGGGTCAGGAAGTTGTCCTCCCACGTTACCTTGGGCGGCTGGCTGTGCCGGTCCAGGACGGAGCTCTGGGCCCGGGCCTCCTGGGGCACTGAGCCGGCCAGCCCTGCTGAAAGCTCTGAGTCGTCTGGCTCTGAGATGGGCAAGGGTGCCGAGCAGGGCCTCGGCGAGCCCAGGGATGCTGGGCACCGGTCCCTGGTGGACGGAAGAGAGGTGACCCCAGAGCTGGCCCCGCCGGGCCAGGACATACCACAGGGGGCGTCCTGCTGGGCGTCTTGCAGGCGGGAGGCTCTGAGGGCCACTGGAGACATCTCCTGGGATGATGGGGTCTGGGAGTCCCAGCTGCTGGCGCCCAGGGCTGACTGGAACAGAGAGGCCCAGTCACCCCGGGAGCGGCCCAGCCACACACCCAGCCGGCCTGCACCAGGCACAAAGGCCTGGCTCCCCATCCTCATCCTCCATCCTATCTTCATCCCCATCATTATCTCCACACCCCATCTTCATCCTCATCCCCATCTTCATGCTCATCCCCCATCCTCATCCCTATCCCCATTCTCATCTCTCCATCCCCACCCCCATCTCATCTCCCATCTCATCCCATCCTCATCCTCCCATTCTCATCTCATCCCATCACCCATCCTCATCCCCATCCCCTCATCCCCATCCCTTCATCCTCATCCCTGTCCTCATCCCCCCATCCCTTCATCCTCACCCTCTCGTCTCATCCCTATCCTCATCCCCCCACCTCATCCTTATCCCCGCATCTTCGTCCTCATCCCCGTCCCCATCCTCATCCCTGCTCCAGCCTCCGCAGGAGCCCAGGCCGGCCCCTTCTTTGCTGGGGCTGGTTCCTCTGCGCTGGGCGCGCTGCATGGAGGCCTGAGCTCCCACCGGGTCAGGCAGTCCCCTCAGCGCCCCTCGGGATCTCCAGGTGAGCACGCACCTCTGAGGCTGCCCTGGCCACCGAGCGCCGCACGGCATCCTGCCCGGCCCACAGCTGCCTCAGGAGCGCCAGGTTGAGCTGCCGGAGCTGCACCAGGTCGCCCGCGTCCACCATCCCAGACATGTCGCGGGGCTTCCACGGGCGGCAGAGTCACCTCCAGGCCAGGTTCCAGGCCCAGCCCTCCTACCTGAAGAGGCGGCAGCTGACGGGCTGTGGAGCTGCCGCGGAGCCGGAACCCGGGGCTCCGGTCCCCACTCTGCAGCCTCCAGCAGGTTACTGAACTGCTCCGTGCCTCAGTTTCCTCATCTGCCAAACAGACATGGAAACAGAACTGCTGAGGTCTGTGCGGATGAAACGAGGTCAGGCCGTGAGGCTTCAGTGCGGTGCCGGCACACGGACGTCTGCTGTCAGGGCCCTGGCCAGGGCGCGTTCGCTCACAGGCCGCAAAGAGGACGGTCCCCTGCAACGGCCCTAGCTACCACGTTCCTGTAGTTTGTGGGAAACGACTAGGGCAAGGCTGAAGGGAAGCTTCCGTCCGTCCTACCACCCGCCCGTCTTCCCCGTCTTTTCTCAAATGAAGAAACCAAAGTTGACCCACGTCACACAGCGAATACGCAACAGAGCCAGGAGGTGAACCCGCGTGTGGCTCCAGGACCCCGACACTCCAGCCCCAGCCTCACCCTCCTCCTCCTCCTCTCCGTCCCCCTCCTCCTCCTCCAGCCCCCCTTGCCACAGAGCCAGGATGTGAACCCGAATGTGGCTCCAGGACCCGACACTCCAGACACTCCAGCCCCTGCTGTGCCGCTGAGGGTGCCTGTGACTCCCCCTCCTCCTCCTCCCCCTCCCTCCCCTCTCTCCCTCCCCCTCCCTCCCCTCCTACCCCCCTCTCACTCCTCCTCCCCTCCCCCTCCTCCTCTCCCCTCCCCCTCCCCTCCTCCTCCTCCCCACTCCTCCCTCCTCCTCCCTCCCCCTTTCTCCTCCTCCCCCCACTCCTCCCCCTCCTCCCTCTCCTCCTCCCCTTCCTCCCCCCTCCTCCTCTGCCCCTTTGCCCCAGGGATCCAGGCTCAGGGGCACAGAGGCCTCTGGAAGGATTTCTGCAGGGAGGGGGCTTCCGAGCGCCCTCAGGGATCCAGGGCTCGCTCCACCCGGGAACTCAGTCTCCCGGTGTGGACTCTGACAGCCACGGCCCGGCCCCCCACACTGACCTGGACCCCCACCAGCGCCCAGGGGGGCCCGACGACCCGGGAGGGCGGGGAGGCCGCAGACCACGGAGGCCAACAGGCCGACCCGCACCCGGGTCCCGGCGCCCCTCCTCCCCCGACCGAGCGACCCGGGGGCGGAGCCTGTCTCCAAAGAGAAGAGGGGGCAGCAGAACCCCGCGGAGCTCAGCCTCCCTGTTCCTCCCCCCGCGGAGTGCGCCCCCCCGCCCCCGCCGCGCCCCGCCGCGCCCCCGCCGCGCCCCCGCCGCGCTCACCCACCGCCCGGAAGCCGCCGCCAGCCGCCGCTCCCGCCGCCCGGACTTCCGCCCGGCCCGCCCCCCGCGTCGCGGGACGTGGGCGGGGCCCCGTCCGCGCGCCCTGATTGGCCAGGCTGCGGGCGGAGCCTGACGCTCCTGCGAACGTGATTCGGCGCCCGGCCGCGGCGGTTTCAACATTGGGGCGGGACTCACGGCGGGAATCAACAGCTGATTGGTCAACCTCCGAGATCGCGTACGGGCCGTGGCGAATAAGGACGGGGCGCGCTCCGGCGGCCGAGCTCCGATTGGTCAGGACGGGCCGCGCCGCGCCGCGCCGCGCGTGAAGGCGGCAGCTCGGGCTTGCCGCGGCTCCGGGGAGAGCAGGATTCCCCTGCGGGCGGCCGGGCGGTCGTGGGGGCGGCGGCCCCAGGACCTTTGTTCACACTTTCCTTCCAGTATTCATCTCCCTGCCTTGCGCGGAGAGGCGCGGTGCCGGGCCCTGGGCGGGGAGAGGAAGGGGGAGGGTCCCCGCGGGAGGGGGGAGGCGGCGGGGGCAGCGGGGGCAGCGGGGGCAGCGGGGGCAGCGGGGGCCCGGGACCTGACGTCCCGCCTACAGACCCGCCCGCGGGCCGAGCCCGAGCGCCGCCGCGGCCCGCCCGCCGCCGCCAGGTGACACTGCGAAACCAATCCGTGTAATTCAGCAAATGAAAGGGAAGAAAGGATAGCGGCGCCCGGGGGCTCAGCGGTGGAGCGTCGGCCTGGCCCAGGGCGCGACCCCGGGGTCCTGGGATCGAATCCTGCGTCCGGCTCCCTGCATGGAGCCTGCGTCTCCCCCTGCCTGTGTCTCTGCCTCTCTCTGTGTCTCATGAATAAACAAACTCTTTAAATAAATGATGAAAAAGAAAGGAAGGGAGGAGAGCAAGAGGATCGTTTGGGGTGCTGGACACGCTCTAGACCTGGACTGTGGTGAAGGCTGCACAACTTTGCTTTTGGGGACTTTTTTTTAATGTTTATTATTTTTTTAAAGATTTTATTTATTGGGATCCCTGGGTGGCGCAGCGGTTTAGCGCCTGCCTTTGGCCCAGGGCGTGATCCTGGAGACCCGGGATCGAATCCCACGTCGGGCTCCCGGCGCATGGAGCCTGCTTCTCCCTCTGCCTATGTCTCGTGCCTCTCTCTCTCTCTGTGTGACTATCATAAAGAAATAAAAATTAAAAAAAAAACTTTATTTATTCATGAGAGACACAGAGAGAGGCAGGCTCCCTGATGTGGGACTCGATCCCAGGACCCCAGGATCACGCCCTGGGCGGAAGGCAGGCCCTAAACCGCTGGGTCACCCCGGGGGTCACGAAGGCTGCACAAGCTTGTACACTTGCTGAAATGATTTAATTGCACAGTGGATTTTATGGTGCGTAAATTTCACCTCAATAAAGGTGTTGGGTTTTTTTTTTGTTGTTGTTGTTATTTTTTAATTAAGTGTGTACACACTATACAAACCAGTCATTCTACTCCTAGGCAGTTACCCAACCAGGGAAAGACTGTCCATACGAAGATTTGCTTATAGATGTTTACAACGGCTGTATCGGAACATAGGTCAAGGGATGCCGGGGGGGGGGGCTCAGTGGCTGAGCGTCTGCCTTCAGCTCAGGGCGTGATCCTGGGGTCCTGGTATCGAGTCCCACATCAGGGAGCCTGCTTCTCCCTCTGCCTGTGTCTCTGCCTCTCTGTCTCTCATGAATAAATAAATGAAATCTTAAAAAAAAAAAAAGAAACATAGGCAAACAGACAAGTGGATAAACAAATCATGGTATGTCCGTATAGTGGATACCACTCGGCAATAAAAAGGAATGAATTTTTGATGTGCCCAATCTGGATGCGCCTCAAGATAATTATGTTGCATGGAAAAGAAAGACTATGTATTATGTCTTCTATCTGTATGAAACTAGAAAATGTGAACAGATCGATAGCGATGGAAAGATCCATGGTTGGGATCTATGGGATCTAGGAGGTCGGAGGGAAGGAGGCGTGATAAAGGGGCATGAGGGAACCTTGGGGGTGATGCATATGTCCACTGTCCTGGGTGTGGTGATGGCCTCACGGGCATATGTATGTCTCACTCATACACTTGAAACCTCCAGTTTATTGTATATAAATTATATCTTGGGATCCCTGGGTGGCGCAGCGGTTTGGCGCCTGCCTTTGGCCCAGGGCGTGATCCTGGAGACCCGGGATCGAATCCCCCATCGGGCTCCTGGTGCATGGAGCCTGCTTCTCCCTCTGCCTGTGTCTCTGCCTCTCTCTCTCTCTCTCTCTCTCTCTCTGTGACTATCATAAATAAATAAAAAAAATAATTAAAAAAAATAAATTATATCTTGATAAGGGACACCTGGCTGGCTCAGCTGGCGGAGCACATGACTCACAGGACTCTTGGTCTTGGGGTCATGAGTTCAAGTCCTATGTTGAGCATAGGGCTTAAAGATAAATAGATAAATAAAATCTCGATAAGGCTGTTGTTAAAAGATGTGAAGCAGGGGCACCCGAGTGGCTCAGCCGGTTAAGTGTCTGCCTTTGGCTCAGGTCGTGACCCCAGGGTCCTGGGACCAGTTCCGCATTGGGCTCGCTACTCAGGGAGGAGCCTGTGTCTCCCTCTGCCCTTCCTCCCTGCACGCACGCTCCCTCTCGCTCTCTCGCTCTGTGTCAAAGAAAATATTTTAACAATTAAGTGAAAGATGTGAAGCAAGTAAAGGAAACAAAGAAGAACTTGGCCTCATTGGGTGCAGTGTGTCTGCCCCAGCCGGGAGGGACACAGGCCCGCCTCGTGCCGCCCCCTTCCCACGAGGGCCCCGGAGGACAAGGACGAAAGCCAGTCGTCCCAGCGGACGCAGCTGCGCGAGGCACACTCGGTCGCCCAGGCGATAGGAAGCGCTGAGCGGCGCGATGGACGGACCCACCGCCCGGGCGGCTCAAGATCCGCTGGTGGTCAGGAGCAGGGGGAGGTTCGGAAGACGGGGGCCGGAGTCGGGGAGGAGGGGACGAGCCGAGAGAACCAAGGGGGCGGCGGGCACACTGTCTCACGTTTCAAATCCATCAATGAACGTGGGGCGGGGAGCCAACAAACAGCTGGATGGGGGACGTGCTGGAGGCCGGCTGACCCCCCACGCCAGTCGATGCGGGGACAGCAGTCCCGGCCTCGGATGAAGTGGCCCCGGCTCGTCTCCAAGGGCTCAGGAGGTCCTGCTGCGGCCGCGACTGTCAGCCATCTCCAGCGCCACCCCCTGCCCGGGGGCAGGTGGCTGCGTCCGTCTGTCCTGGAGGGGGGCACCTCGTACTTCTCGAGACTGACGCCACCGCGCCCGCGGGACCTCTGGTCCCGATATAGTGACGCCACCTCGAGCCAAGGGACCTGGGTTCTGGCGAAATACGGACCACGGGGCATCCGACAAGGATCCACTGACCTCACCAGGAAGCCCGACGGCCACGGGCAGGGCCTGGACGGACCCGGCATGGGCAGCAGGGACGCCCTAGCACGCAGGGCCCGGGAGGGGGGGGGCGAGTGGGGACCACTCCTGGGCCCGGGCTTCCTGTGCCCCGGAGGGTCCCTCGGCCTGGAAGATGCCATCGCCACCCGGTCGCCGGACCCTCCTGTCACCGCATCCTGGGCACAGGCTCTGGCCCGGTGGGACGGGGTGTCGGGAGCCCCTCGGCGCCTGTGCCCTGGGGCCTCCACTCCCGCTGGCAGCAGTGTCATTGGGGCGATGGGCTCCGATCCCCTGGGACGAAGTCGGGATCACCAGGAGCAGGATGCGGGAATTCGGAACCGTGGTGGGCAGGGGACCAGGCAGCAGCAGGGCCGTGACTCGGCCACCAGTCCCCCAGGCGGAGGCAGTGCTGCCACCACCTCCAGGACCGCTGGGTGGGGAGGAGGGACTGTTCTGGAAGAGCCTCCGCGTCCCCGAACAGCTTCGTGGCCTGGCACCTGCTGCTCCCCTCCACTGGAGCTGAGGGACCTGCGGCAGGCCCAAGCTGCCACCCCTGCCACCCCCTGCCACCCCGGCGTCCACCTGCCAACCCAGAAGTGCAGAGCCAGTGCCCAAGGCACAGCTTCACCCCGTGGGGAGAGAGGCGTGGATGCAGCCCCGCTCCCCCCCAGGAAACGGGGGCGACCCGCTTGTGTGGCCTCTTGGGGTCAGTCTGTGATTCTGTGACACATCTAACGGCAACAGACTTTTATTTTTTACGTGTATCTATTTATTTCTTTTTGGCATCCGACTCTGTAATGCCCCTTCGGCTAGCTCCCCCCTTCTGACGTCCCGCTTCCCCCTCCCTCCCGCTCCGCTCCGGGTTGTGCTGCAGAAATAAGATGGGGGGGCGGGAACCGGCTGCTTGAGGCTCTGCTTTCTGGGGAGCCCCGGCCAGGACTCCACCCGCGTGCTGACTCCCAGACGTGTATCCCTGGGCCGGGCTCCCCGAGCTCCAAGTTCTCGTGTCCAGCCACACACGAGGGGCCTTAAATACACCGTGTCCCAGGTGCTCCGGACCGCCCCTAAACCTGCCCACTGACGCTCTCCCCATCCCACCGCGTGCCCAGGACCCTGAGTCCCCCGCGGCCCACCCAGTCTGTCAGCATAGCACAGGATTTCTATCCATATTCAGATTTATCTATTTATTTATTTAAGATTGTATTGATTTATTCAGAGACACAAGGAGAGGCAGAGGCACAGGCAGAGGGAGAAGCAGGCTCCCTGCAGGGAGCCCGACGTGGGACCCGATCCTGGGACCCTGGGGTCACACCCTGAGCCGAAACCAAGAACCAGACATTCAGCTGGCAGAGCCACCCAGGCGCCCCCATGTCTATCGTCAAGAACCTGACCACTGTTCACCGCTGCCATGACGGTCACCCGGCCCCAGGCACCATCCTCCCCTCCTTGGAACATCGGTCACCCTCTGATCCCCCAGCTCCTGTCCTTGCTCTGTGGTCTCCACAGCAGCCTGGGAGCCCGTCAAGGTGGAGGTCGGCTCATGGGACTCCTCCGCTCAGAGCTCTCCAGTGGCATCTGAGTCACTCAGGATAGAGGCAAGTCCTTACCTGGGAGATCCCAGTCGGCCTCGGGTTCCTTTTCAAACCTTATCTCCTACCCTCTCCGCCCCCTCACTCTGCTCCGGCCACCCTAGTCTCATCTTGTTCCTTGAAGGTACCAGGCGTGCTCCTACCTCAGGGCCCTGGCACATGCTGGTCCCTCCATCCCTGCATCACCTCAGATATCCACGCGGTTTCATTCCCCACCATCTTCCTCCAAAAGTCCTCTCAGCAAGGCCGACCCCAACCACACCGTTGTCGCACCCTCCCCGACCTTCCCCTGCCTCGTCCCCCCCCCAGTCCTTATCTTCTGATAGTCTTACTATGCCTTTTTCTCAACTGGCTTTGCCTGTAGTCCCCCGGCCCCCAGCCCCAGCACACCAGCTCTGAACACAGAGATTTTTATCCACCTTACTCGCCGCTGTGACTAACGCTTAGGACCGTGCTCATCAGCACGTAGCAGGCACGCAAACCTCTCGCTGATTCCATGAACTTCCTCATTTGCACAAAGAGGCCCACAGACCACCGAATTTCTGGGAAGATTCGGGTTCACGCATCTAAATGTCTGACACGTGCTAAGCTCTTAGCTGGCTGCTCTGATCCCGAGCCCAAGAGTCGGACTCAGAGACAGAGATGCCTGTCCTGGGGGACGGGGTGAACCTGGCGGGGGGCTGTGAAGACGGCCCGACCTGGGAAGAGGGGTGCGTCCTGGCCACGTGCTTTGTGACCACGTACGGATACGGTTACTGGAAAACCGAAAATCCGGCCTCTTGGATTCCCCAGAACTCACGGTGGGTGGGTCGGGCGGAGACCACAGGCGTCTGGTCTCCACTTGGGATAAAGGTAGGCGGCGTTGAGGAGCGGGGCGTGCAGACAGCTTTTCCCAAGTCCGGGTCATCACCCCGGAGGAGCTGGCAAGCAGCCCGGTGGGCTGTGAATACAGCAGCAGCGAACACCCGTGCACCACGGAAAGGGGGCGCTGGCTTGACTTTGCATTTCTGGCTTCATCCACACAGATGCACGTGTGCTGGTGGGTTTCTAATGGTGGGTTAAACAAAATTCAGTCTGAAAGCCACTTGGGAACTTAGGACTTGGGCTCCAATCCAGGATCCATCAGGCCTCCAGCTGCTTAGGTTGGAGTATCTGAAAGCCCCCGGGGCCATGGCTACTGTTGGGAAGTTTCTAGTAGCATTTTATTCTGGCCCCAGCCCTGGAGGGCTGACGTGTGGACGGTGTTATCAGGGCAGGATTCATTAATTCAGCAGGTATCAAGACCGAGTTCTGACTCCGGGCCAGGCACCAGACATGCAAAACAAAAATCTCAGGCCTTGCAGAGCTTATGTTCCAACAGGTGGACACACGGAACATATCTGTGACGTGGAGGACGGCCACGGGGACTGACACGGCTGCTCTGTCCGTGGTCCCAGGGGCTGGGGGGGTGGGGGTTCAGAGGCGGCCTGGTCCACCCAGGCGGGGAGGTGAAAGAAGCAGCTGTGGTAACAGCTAGAGGACGAGGCGGAGGGTCAGCCGGGCCGGACGTAAGGTGCGTGCCCAGCAGTCTGAAGCAGCAAGGAAGCCGCGTGCCCAACGCGGAGGGCGCCAGGGAGCGAGGGGCGGTCACAGCCCTGCGGGCCGAGCCAGCGCCGGGATGCGGCCGGTGACCGGAGCTCTCCTCCAAATCCGCGGCAAGGCCGCTGCCTCAAAACAAGCACCCGGGCGGGCGCACGCGTGGGAGGGACAAGGTGGGTGGCAGGGAGCGGGGGCCAGGGCGGAGGCCGTGAAAGACTGCGGGGCATGCTCAGGCTCTGGAGGTACTCTGGAGACGGCAGCAAGTGACGCCAGCGTCCAGGACGACACCCCGTTTGTGGCCTGGGAATCTGGAAGGATGAGGCCGCACCCGCCGCGCTGCAGGGGGTGCTGCAGGGGGTGGGGGCGCCCGAGCCCGGGGCACAGGCGGGGGGGGGGGGGGGGGGCGGGAGGCTGACGAGTCACACGAGGGCCCTTCAAAAACAGAGAGCTCACAGCCAAGTTCTCAGAAGGCAAACCAGGGTGGGCCCGTCTGACTCATTACTTTTTAAGTGAAAAACGATCGGAGTTACAGCGAAATCTGTGAAGACATCACTCTAGATTTCCTGGTTCTTAAAGATCAGTTAGTCCTTTGTTCTCAGAGTATCAGGGTCCTTCCAAGAGCCCGAGGAAGGAGGAACCGACGGCGACTGCGGATTACAGTTGGAACTTCCCCCGACAAAGTTAAGGTCATTTCAAAGTACAGCCTGCAGGCGCGGTTTAGAGCAGCAAACTGAGGTCCCGCAAAGTGTTTCCAACTAGGTTTTATTTTAGTTCCAATATTATCAGCAATGATACAGGAGTAACTCAGGCAAGTATGTCACCTTAAGTACATCAGACAAGAAACTCACTGTGTCGAGCAGGTCTCACACTCCAGCAAAGGAACATAAACACAAAGTTAGCAGCATTAAATTAAAGTGCTTTTTGCCACACTTCTGCCGGAGTCTTGTCCTCAGTGGGGAACATTTCATCCTACTTACTGTGTAAGAAACTCAAAATTCCGTTTATTGCCCAGGGGCTACATTCAAAAAAATTCATGTTTAGTTTTTAAGTAATTTCTTCCCCCCCAAAAAAGCACAAAATTCACTGGATTGTGTGACCCTGATTTTTCCTGACACTGAAGTGACCACCACCTGGGCCTGGCAAAAAGCTCCCAGCGTCCCCCTGCCGTGTGGCGGTCTCGAGAGAGTCCAGCACGTGTCCCACACAGCAGGTGCACTCAAGAGCTGAGACAAGCGGGCACCTGGAGAGGATGCCACCTGCGTGGCCACCGGCGGAGAGCAGAGGCCACCAACCCATTTCCTGGAAGCTGGCGGGCGGGGGGGATTCAAGAGGACGAGCCCCACCTCTTTCTGGGAGAGAGGACCTGCTGGTTTCTAGGAAGTTCTCTGACCTGAACTGCAAAGGCTGCTTGCCCCAGTTAACACCGTGGAGAAAGGAACCTGCCCCCACTCCAACCAGTAACAATCCCAAACTCAACAGGAAACATTTCTCAAAGTCAACACGAGGCCAGATGGGGGTCAGTTAGAGCTCTGGGGGGCGGGGAGGTGGGGAGGGCTGGGGGATGGCGGCTGGCTCTCCCATGCTGTCCCCCACCAGCTGCAGCCGCCGAGGCACAGGAGGCTCAGCCCAGAGGACTGGTGGCCAAGGGCGGCAGGGGCGAGCCCTCCCTGTTCCCCATGGACTCCACATTCCACCCCCCACCCCCCCACATCCCCCCACCCTGTCCTGGGCGAGCCCCACCCCCACCTCCCTCTACCATCCTTCCTTCTGCTACATCCTTGAACGTCCTTGAACCAAACCATCTCTGACCAACAATAAAACCAGACGACACCGGCTAAGGAGCGAGACCGGAACAAGGGATGCGGTGAGAGAGGGAAGCCGAGCCCCGCGCAGCGCTACCAGCGGCGACTCTCTCCACGCGGCCCCACCCTGCAGCCAGTCACCTCAGCACCTCTGCATCACCCGCCCCACCGCATGCACGAGGCTGCCTCCGCCTACAACCCCCACGGCCCCACCTCCAGGACGCGTCTGCAATGTTCTGCCGACAGAGCGAAGCGTGCAAGCGGAAGGGCCAGGCTGACACACAGGCAACAGCCCTCCTGCGATGGACTCAGCCTTTCTGGAACTTGTTCCTATGCAACCTGGGAAGAACTCAACCCCCCCAAGGCGGCCTTGCTCTGCGTGTGCTGGGGTGTGCGGCAGGCGGGGGTGCTGGGGTGGGCGGTAGTGTCGGCCAGAGGAGGGGGCCTGCGTGACAGCAAGCAGGCATTCTGCGGTGTGGGCAGTTCCCAGACCCTGTCAAGCACTCGTGGGAGTCTCCACCAGCGCACCTGACAAAGACACTTGACTCCCTGTACCATGCTGTCCACGGTCATCGTTACAAGTCTCCTCTAGGGGCACAAGCCAGGTCTTCCTGCAACAGCAGGCGAAGGGGGAAAACCTAGCAATTAAGGGCTCAAAACGGTATGAGAGGTATGAGACGGGGGGGTGCTCTCGTTCTCGGGGCGGCAGCAACGGGCAGGAACTGCGCGAGGGCTGCTAGGAGCCCACAGTGCTGGCGGTGCCGCCCTCTCCACGCGGCTCTGGCTCTCGGCTGCCCACTATCTGCTGGGCTGCAGGTACTGGTGCGTGAACATGTTGAGCTCGCTGTCCAGCCAACCAGCTTTGTTCCTGCAGAGAAACGGGTGTTTTGTGGCACTCAGAGCCGATCACAGGTGACAGTGTCACAGGCCAAGGGCTGTTCTAAGCTCTTGTGACATGGAGCCTCAATCACTCCCACTGCACAGATGAGGAAGAGGCCAGAGACGTTACGTAACTTCCTACAGCCACACTGTAGCACTGGAGCCAAAAGTCGAGCTCTTCGGACCCTCAAGCCTCACGCTCGGGTCACCTGACCACAGGCAAGTCCCTGAACTGTCTGGAACTAGGTTTTCCTGCCTCTCGGAGAGGGGCTGCATTGCTGGATCTGCAGCCCTTACGGCTTTACCCCATCCCTGTTGGTGACAGCAGCAGAGGCAGCCCCCACCACGCACACACCCCGTGAGTCGTACCGCGTGTCCCTAGGAAAGGACTGACCCAGCTGGTGGGCGGTGAGGGCACATCCACACAGCGAGGGAGGGAAAGTCCACTATGTGCCAAGGGGTTGGCACTGACGTCAGGGGCGGGGGCAGGAAGCACAGGGTCCCCATGTACTGATGTTATCTGGGGCTGAGCGGGCAGAGGACCTTTGCACACCACTTTTAGGTTCAGCTCTGTGGCTACCATGAAATCTTGCTCCATTTTATAGATGAAAACAAGGGAACCTAAGAAAGCTATGCAGTCTGCCCGAACATGAGCACCTGGGCCAGAACCCAGGCCTCCTGCTCCTGAGATTGATCCTCTCCAGGAAAGCACTGACTTTCAGCAGGGAACCCCCCCCCCTCGGGGGATGTGGGTGCCAACACATGCCCTGCCCATCACCAGGGACCTTACGCAACTCTCCTGTGGGTAAAAATGCTAGCATGCCCCCAGCCCTGGGCTCCCACGGAATTGGGAGTGAAGCATGCGGCAGGTCCAGCCCAGGGTTCCGAGTACACAGGAGACAATGAAAGACAATCGACGTGCAGAGTGTCACAGAGTGCTGGAGCCACACACACCTATTCCTGGCCTGACCATCTCCTACGGGACCCCAAACAAGTTACTTAACTTCTGGAAGCCCCAGTTTTCCCTTTTAGAAAAAGGAAAGGGGTTACACGAGCCCTTGAGGTTGAGTGGCACAGCACCCCTCAAGTGCCAGACACATGCCACTAAGGAGAAGGTGCCTGTGACCTGGAACCCGACGGTACCACACTGCCTGGCTCCTCCACAGCTGCCACACGGCCCCGCTGCAAGCATCTGGAGGGCAGCGACTCGACATCCTGCTGCACCTCCAGCGCTGGCGCCGTATCCGGCACCCAGCAGTGTGCCACCTGACATAATGAGGTTCACGTCCACACCCAAGAGAGACAAGCAGCGGAGCACCCACCGTGCCCAGCGGCACACCAGAGCCCCCCGGCCTCCCAGGACGGCCTCACCTGAGCAGTTTTGCTTTGCTCTGGAGTGAATCGAGAACCTCAATTTTCTTGTTCATGGCAGCAATTTCCTGCTCCAGGTTCTCCCGGGTGACGTCGACTTGCTGGCACAGATGAGCAAAGGTCCCAGACAGTTCCCTGAGGGAGAGGGAGTCGGGATCAACCGGTCCACGAGGCTGTTTTGCAGAACACGGCGCTGGCTAAACCCGAGCGAGAGCAGGGCAGCAGCCAGCCCACGTGTCAGCCGCTGGCAGCTCGGCCCCACACCATCCCAGTTCCGCAGAAACTTCCCCACCCCTGCCAAGACCGTGCAGGTCACAACCACCACATGCACAGCATCGGCACCGTCGGGACAGCCAGGAGCACCCTGGCTTGGGCACAACAGTCCAGGATTCAGATCCCAGCTCTGCTGTGCATCAGCCAGTGGAGGGGGAAAGAGACTACTCATCCAGGTGCAATTTCTCCGTTTGGAAAAAGGAGATGCCAATGCAAACAGCATCTATTTCCAAGGGTTCACAGAGAAAATGGAAAATTGGGGGCAAGGTCCCTAAAAAGGAGCTGACCACACAGCGATGTAAGGCAGGCAAGCCAGCACTCCCCTTTAGCGGCCAGGCCAGGCAATCCAGCCCCAGCTGCCCAGAGCTGTGCCAGGAAGGCAGGGCCGTGGCTCAGCAGCTCACTGCCTATAAACCAAGCCCTTCCAGATCACCTTTAATAAATGCCACAAGTAACGTCCCTGCTCTTCCCACAGCCTCTTTCTTTCCTACCTGGTCCCAACCCAGGACATAAGGTGACCCCGGACAGACCCCTCTCCCCATCCCTGGTCCCAGAGCCGACACTGCACAGCTCAAGGCCAGGGGCAGATGATGTTCGGGACCTGAAGGTTTCCAGGCCAGGTCCACAGGAAAGCTAGAGGGAAATCCTGAACCACAGGAGGCGGCACTAGTGCCTGGGCACTGGGGGGGCCACTCACTGCTGGACTTGGTGACTGCAGTTGGAGCCAGTGTAGCTGATGATGAGCTGTAGCTTCTCGCTGGCATACTCAACAAACTGGCGCTTGAACGCCCTCTCCTTGGCCTTGGTGGTCCAGGTGAGACGCTCGTAGACATACAGGAGGCCATAGAGCCCAAAGGAGAGGGCGATGAGCCGCCAGCCCACCGCCTTCCACACCTGCAGAGGCACAGGGATGAGCTGACGCAGACTCTCTGCCGTCCTCCTGCCCATCCCCTCAGCCTGCCACAGCCAGGACCTTCCCAAGAGCCCCAGTTCAGAAACAAGGGTAACTCAGTGCTGGCCACACGACATGACTTGTGCAAAGGTGGGGGGTAGGGAAGTGGTGTTAGGACCAGAAGCATGGACCCACTCAGAATTCTTAAAGACGAATGCAGGCATGCTGTAAAGTGACATTCCGTCCCGACGACACCGACAAGCATTCTGCATTTCGTTGCTCAGTGGGTGGCTTCTGTTGGCCTGGTCTATGATGCTTTGGTTCAAGGCGGTGCGGTTACGGTCAAAGAGCAGTGGATGTGAAGCCAAAAATCACGGCTTCAGTGCTGCCTGTCTAATCCTGGTTGACACCTGGGCAAGTTTTTAACAACCAATCTTCCCAAAAGACGCATAATGCTCTTCACCCAACTCTCAGGGTTGTTTGGGTAAAACAGGGTATTTAAAAGGGTCACATGACCAACAGGGACCCACATCTCAGCTACCAACCCTCTGCTAGGTCATTGCCCATGAACAAAGCAGCACAGCATGCACCAGCTAGAGAGAGGAGGGCAAGGGGCCCCAGATCTGTCCCACTGTAGCCTTCCAAACGGAGTACAATTCCTGGCAGTTTTGTTACCGCCACACCTGCCACCAAAGTGTAGCTCTAAAGACCATGGCAGAAAGAGCAAGGCCATGTTGTCAGGAAAACTCAACGTGTTATTACCTACTCTGGCCTCTGTGTGTCTTGGGGTCAGGACTGGGGAGCACCCCAGTTATCAAGAAGGCAGCCTGCGATCTCAGGCCTTGGAGTGGAAAGGGAAGGGCAAGAAAACCAGGAGACAGGCAAGGGTTCAAGGCCCAGCCTGAGTTCTTTGTCCTAAACCCTTTAAGTTCTGCTCTTGGCATCCCCTCCAAAGAGAGGTCCTGGGCACACCCATCTCTCTAGAACCCTGGTCTGTCCATTTCTCAAGTCTCTTCCCTGCCTGTTGTGTGGTGCAGGCCCTGCTGGGGACAAACACGGCTTGAGATCACAGTTCCAATCCTAACTCTATGCAAGCCAACGAGGTTGTCCTCCTCTGGGACTGGTGCTGTCTAATCGTCACATTAGTGGACTGAGACCAAAAGAAGTCAACAGATACACACTAAAGCTTAGTCTACGGCTCTACACAGCTACCTGTGAGACCACAGTGAAAAGTCGCTGGTAGACGTGAAAATGCTCCGCGCCTACTGTGACGCGCTGAGCCAAAGCAGGAGCCCCCGCCTGCCTGCCCGCCTGCCCACAGCCTTCCCAGGTGGGCCTGTCACTGACCACGCCTCCAACAACGAGAATGCCCATGGAGGTCCTAGACGTCAGGGATGCCAGGCCGGTGACCATGGAAACCATGAGCTCTTCTTGGGTGAGGGAGCCCTGCGGCAGCGGGGGCATGGTGGGGTTGGCTGGCGTCAAAGGGATGGGGCGCTGCACCTGAAGAGACATGACAGGAGGGCTAAGAACACTTGGTGAGCCTCAGGGCCAGGTGTCCGGGAACAGGGACACACAGCGCGGCTCTTCAATTTCCAAAAGGCAATAAAAATAAGCTCTGTGTGCAGCAAGGAAGAATTTAGGCTTCATGACAGATGTGCCAGCCCCAAGGGAGCACTGGCCAGCCCCCAAAGTGTAGGACGTGCACCAGGAGCAGAACGCACAGTAATTCAGTGCTGTGGACACGAGTGGTTTAAGATCTAAATTGAGAAACATGGTGTGTAGATAAACCTAAAACTTCCATATCTAATACTCACATACTTAGTAAGTTTAGCTAATGTTTTAAATTTCATAAAAATCAGTGCTTAGGGTAAAACTCAACTGATTTGTGGCAGAATTTGGTAGCACAGGTGCCATGGCTGTTATGGCAGGAAACCCCTTTCAGAGCGATCCCTGTGAGCACGTCGGGGTGCCTCAGTCAGCTAAGTGCCTTCAGCACAGGTCATGACCCTGGGGTCCTGGATCGAGCCCCCTTTGGGCTCCCTGCTCAGTGAGGAGCCTGCTTCTCCCTCCCACACTCCCCACTTGTGCTATCAAATAAATAAAATCTAAAACAAAAAACAAAAAACTGGTCCCGGTTTCTGGAGGCAGGGTGCAGACGGGCCTCCAGCAATGCCCAGGGTGAGGGCCACTGCTTGCCTGGTCATTGTAGCCCATCAAGGCCCGGCGGCTGTTCTTGGGACCCAGGAACCTATTCACCAGCATGGTCCACCCGAGAGAAAAGTGGAACTCGATGTCCTCCTGAAAGTCAGCACACAGCTTGTCACAGTTCAGGTCGTAGCTGAGGGAGAAGCACTGCCGAGGGACCAGCATGTCTATCTGACTGCGCACGGACGCAGGAAGGAGGGGTTTCAAACCATCTGTCAGGAAGGGAGATGAGGAGAAGCCACGTCAGCTCGGCCCTGGGCCACACAGGTGCCCGGCCTCGGAACAGAGGCCGTGCCAGCCACTGCCCAGGGTGCTGAGGGTGTGCAAAGAGTGGGCTCGCGGGGCTGCAAGTGGCCCTCCCCAGGGCCCTCCACACCTGCTGACACTTAGGCCCTGTGTGAACTGAAAGCCTGGCCACACCTCAGCCTGTGACAGTCCCATAGGGTAACCCCGGACGGCTCCCTGTGGGGACTGAAAGCACAACACACCCCAAGAACCCGAGCGTATTGAACTAACTCGTTGTCAAAGGTGACAGACAAGGAAAGGGAATCATTTCTGTGGACTGGACCCCAAAGCGGGCCTCGGGGCATCCCAAAGGCCCCGGCCGCCAGCCCCCAGGCACTGACCTATCATGTCCTGCTGCATGGCTTGCAGGGAGCTGCTAATGGCCGTGGAGCAGCGGTCGGACATATTCCGGCCCAGTCCCTCCTCTATATGGCGGTGCAGTTCCTGAATCCGGAAGGGAGAGGTTAAGAGAAACAACCCCACCTCGGGAGTCCCTTCTGAGGAGCCAAGGGACAAGGAAACCGCTGTCAGCCCGCCCCCCGCAGATGACCTCAGAGTGCTGAGGGAAGCCCGGGTCCTTCCGCCCTGGCTGAGGGGCCCTGAATCACTGTCCTGCGCAGTGATTCCACCCAGTGGACAAAAGGGACAGAGGCGAGCCCAGAACACCGGCTGCCCGACGACTCACGTTCTTGTAGACCTTGAGGACCACTGGGGAGGGGTGGAAGTCCATCTGGTAGTCGTCCACCAGCACGGACAGGCGCCTGATCTCTTCCGCCATCGCAGTGGACACCTGCAGGACAGCAAAGTGCACTGTTCGGGCTGGAGGGCGACGTGGATCCGTCCTGCGGCACCAGGAGAGCCTGAGCGATTCTCACCCACCGCACAAGCTTCCCCGAGAGCCGGCAGGCTTCTCGGCTCACTGACGGCAGGGCAGCTTCGCAGGGAGAAGGGATGTTACAGATGGGAGGCCCAGAGGACGAGGACTTGCCCTGGGTCACACAACGGACCAGGGAGCCCTTGGCGGTGGGGGGCACTATGCGCCCGAGTCAGGGCCACAACTTCCTTCTGGAAGGCTGGGAGGCCCCAGGATGAGGACGCGTGTGCTCTTTCGCCTTCCCAGCACCCTGGACGCTACTTGGAGCCCAGCAATCCCCGGAGCAGCAATCCTTACCTGCCTCTCCACCTCCTCCGTGATCTGCTTAATCCGCAGCTTGTAGTCCTGAGCCAGGAGTTCCAGCTGCTTGTCAATGAACCTCAGCCGCTCTTGCCGCTCTTCCCGCATTTCCAGGCAGTAAACCCTGAGAGGAAGTGCACAGTTTCAAGAGCGGGTCCCCTCCCAGCCACGTGGAGGAGCGAGGGGACACCGGGAAGCCTGCGTGTGCCCCTGCTGTGGCCTCAGCAGTTTCACACTCATGCCCAGAGATGCGCTCTCGCCCTTCCCAGGTGCCAGCCACACACTCGGAGGTCCTCCCAACTCCCTCCAACTCGGGAGAGGTGGGGGCAGGGTGGGGCGGGTGCTTTCAGGGGGCTTACAACAAGTTCTGCTCATTAACATAGGAAAACAGAAAGCTCAGCCCGACTAGTCATCGGGGAAATGAAATTAAAAAAGAGGTACTACTCTACACAGGCACAAGCCCGACAGAGTCACCGAGTCTGAAGTGCTGGCAAGGCTCGGGGAAAGCAGAGTCCCAGCACACGCTGCTGGTGGGACTGGGAACACACGGAGAGAACGACAAAGGAAGACACAGTAAAACTGAAAATGCGCACACCCTGAGATGAAACAGTTCCACCTCCGGGAGTTAATCCCAGACAGACTCTTACAAACGTGCACAAGCTGACACGTAAACTGGTGCCCACAGCAGCAGCAGGGTTTGCAATAGGAAAATAACAGAATCTAAAAAGCAATCCACGGGAGGGATGCCTGGCTGGCCCAGTCAGTGGAGCATCCAGTGCTTGATCTCTGGGTTGTGAGTTCAAGCCCCAGGGTGGGTCTGGAGATTAAATTTGAAAAAAACTTAAAATGAGGTATGGTCCCAAGGGAATACTCTATGCCAGTTCACAGTGATAAACTCCAACTCTGTGTAATCAGCAGGGCAGGAGGCAAAACCAATGCTGAGCAGAGAGAAACACAAGGTGCACCAGCACGTCCAGGACAACAGGATGTCTGTGTATTTAAAGCACATACAAGCAGCGTTTACAGATTCTTCAGAGTTTATGTAAAAGCACTTTTTAAATGGATGATGGCTACACACCAAATCCACGGTTGTGCTTGCCTCTGAGGAATGGGCAGGATGACGGTGGGGTAGGGGCTAAAGAATTGAAAGGTGTTTAAGAAAAAGGGTTTTTTCTTAATTTAAAACAATATAAAGCAAACATTGAAGGAAGCAAAATGTTTTCATGTTATTCTCTATTTTCCTAGATTTTAATTTCTACAAAAAAGGTTATTTTTATAAAATGAGTGTCCTGGGTGGGGCACCTGGGTTCACTCGATTGAGCATCTATTGATTTCAGCTCAGGTCATGATCTCTGGGTCATGAGATTGAACTGTGCATTAGGCTCCACGCTCAGTGGGGAGTTTCTTTGAGGTTCTCTCTCTTCCTCTGCTCCTCCCTCTACCTCTTTGTCTCTCTAATATAAATAAATATATCAAAAAAAAAAAAAAGAAAGAAAGAAAAGAAAAAAAAAGAAAAATCCTGGAGGAGACACCTGGCTGGCTCAGTTGGTGGAGCACACAACTCTTATTCTCCGGGTTCTGAGTTTGAGCCCCACAATGGGTATAGAAATTACTTAAAATAAAATAAAATATTTTTTAAAAATTACAAATTTGGGAACCCTGGGTGGCGCAGTGGTTTAGCGCCTGCCTTTGGCCCAGGGCGCGATCCTGGAGACCCGGGATCGAATCCCATGTCGGGCTCCCGGTGAATGGAGCCTGCTTCTCCCTCTGCCTATGTCTCTGCCTCTCTCTCTCTCTCTCTCTCTCTCTCTCTCTCTCATAAATAAATAAAAAAGTAAAATAAAATAAAATAAACAAAAATAAAAATTACAAATTTGTCCTGCTTTAAGCTCTGAGAAATGCCGTGGTGCTCAGTGTGGTGCCACGCTGAGGCCTCCACATGTGCCTGTGGGGCAGCGTTTCAGGGAACCACGAGGGACAGCCAGACACCCGAAGGCTGTCCTCACCAGGCTCCTCCTCATGGATCCAACTAGGCCTGGTGGCAACCCAGGCACTCGGCTCTGCCGGCCCGTCCGCAGGTGGGGGTGAGGCGATCACGTCCCAGCACTGCCCCCCGTGGGTACACCACCTTCGGTTCTTACCGCTGCTCCTGTGCCGCTATGTGCAGGGAATCCATGATGAGACGCACCGCCTCCGCAATCTGCTTGGCCCGGACTGTGTGCTGCTCGAATTTGGTCTTCACTGCCGACTGGGAGATGCACTCCTGGGACAGACAAGAGGTGCTGAGGGAGGCAGAGGCCACCAGGGTCCACCAGCCACGGCCCAAGCTCTGGCGTTCACCACCAGGGACACGGCTGGTGGGCGCCGGGGAGGCACAGAATAACCAGATACCGGAATCAAAGGGCTCACCTCAAATCTCCTTTCAAAATTCTGAAACTCAAACATCCTCACTTGGAAGCCTTCTGCAAGAGCGCCCCCTAGGAGAATTGCACCACGTAAGTCGGCAGGGGCAAGGGATGAAATTCCCCAAAGGCAAGCAGACTGGGCACGGGGCTTAAAACAGTGGCCGAGAAGCAAAGAGCTTTTTGCTCAAGGCTCTTCCTACTGCCTCACTCTCAGAACCAGCTTCTGGAAGCCTAAACATCAGGGGAAAGGAAGTCCGTTCGAGCGTCACCTCCTTCGGGCATGCCCTGGGCCTTCTGGATCCTGGCGTTGAGCACCTCCTTGGCAGACACAAAGAAGATGCGGTCTCCGGCCTGGCCTCGGTCCACCACACCCAGCTCGTCCACCAGGAAGCTGGTACAACGTTCCATGTGCTGCCGCCGCACCTGAGGTCCAAGTGGATGGCTGAGACCAGGTGGGGTGCCGGTGGGCCCCTCCTGACGGAGCCCACAGCCCCCTGTGCCTTTCTTCTAAAGAACAGGTAATATAATAGAGTCACGTCCACTATTCCAAATGTACACACACACGACCTCATCTCCCACCGTCAGTTCTCTAGCCACCACGCTCCCCAAAAGCCACATGACAGGGGCTCCTTGGGGTATAGGCTGCCACAACTATTTCATGCAAATAGAAGCAGAAATGCTTAAACATGTGGGGCGCCTGGGGGGCTCTGTCGGTTAAGCATCCGACTCTGGAGCTGGACTCAGGTCATGATCTCGGGGTCCTGGGATCAAGCCCCACATTGGGCTCTACATTCAGCATGGAGTCTGCTTGGGATTCTCCTCACCCTCTGCCCCTCCCCACCACTTGTGCTCTCTCTAAAATTTAAAAAAAAAAAAAAAATTAAATTAAATTAAAAGGAAAAAGAAAGGCTTAAATATGTCCCAAACTGCCCCTTGTGAGAACCAGCACACCGTCTCACTGTGCTGCCCCAGGAGGAAAGGAACCCGTGAGCCAGGTTCCAGGAAAGGAACCTAACCTTGGGCTCCATCCTGCCAAGCCGAGTCCTCCCAGGGCCTCGAATATGAAATGAGTGGGCGCCACCACTGGAATATCCTTTCTAGCTCTGAAATCCCAGGGTTCTCCTGCCAGCTGCTTTCCTCAACGTTAGCCCATTTCTTCCTTTCAACAACTGTGTCACATCCACCTCTCAGGCGAGGAGCGTCCCAGTCACTGCCTGGCGTCAGCTGGCAGCTGTGCACTTCATCCCCCGTCACCAATCTATCACTCCCGTCGCTTCCCTTTCCTTCCACACAGAACAAGTAAAGAATTATGAACGGTCAGGGAGGATCAAGTATTCTCCGCTCCTCCTCCTAGCTTCTTTCCTGGCTGTCTACCAAAGGCTGAGCCTGTTCTACTGCGATTCATTCTTTATGAACCGAAGTGAGCACCGGCCTCAGACAAGGGAGCTGCTGACGTGCTGTGGACGCTTTTCAGACCCGGATGGCAGCCGTCTGAAGAGTAGAGGAAGCCGGGGAGGGGAACGGGGGAAGTGGCAGGAGCGTTCTCAGAGCCCTCAGAGGACACCACAGGGACCCCAGGGAATGCAGGGGAAATCCCTGGTGGTGAACTCAGTCACAGGCTGGAAGAGGCCCTGGGCAGACACACAGGTGGCACTCCCCAGACTGGCGAATAAAGAGCCACCAACCTCTTCCATGTATTCAGGCTCCGAAGCAGACGCGTCCCAGCGGTTGTTGAGGATGAAGATGTTTGGGCGGGACAGGCGCTCACTCACCTTGTGGAAGAACTGCTTCTCCTGATGGGGGAAAGACCTCAGTGTAGGAGGGGCTTTGGCGGCCAAGGCCCTGTGAGTCTCACGCCCCCCTTCCCGCTCAGCTGGGTTCTGGGGCACAGGAAGAGGAGGAGGAGGGGTTACCGTCTGCATCAGGGTGGACTCTGAGTTGGCCACCAGCACGAACACATCGGCGTCCAGGCAAAACTTGTCAATCCAGCTGTCCAGCTCCGTGGTGACATCGATACCAGGGCTAGGGGTGGTGGGCACACTGTCATCAGGCTCACACACGGGGCCCTATTCTTGCTCTGCACAGGCCCAAGGGCAGCCAGGCAAAGGAGTACAAAGCCACAGATCTCAGGGCAACCCGGCCTGACCTTTACTGGAAGGATATTTACTTTTCATTTCATACCCTTCTGGATGGTTTGAAAATGTTTTGTTCCATCTCTATACCACTTTTAAAGACAATGATTTGTGGAGATGCCTGGGTGGCTCAGTGGCTGAGCATCTGCCTTTGGCTCAGGTCGTGACCCTGGGGTCCTGGGACCGAGTCCCACATCAGGCTCCCTGAAGGGGACCTGCTTCTCCCTCTGCCTATGTCTCTGCTTCTCTCATGAATAAAGAATTAAAATCTTTAAGAAGAAAAAAAAAAAACCATTTGTAACTTTACCCTGGAGATACACAATTAAGATAAAATTTTACACGTGAGTCCCATAAGCACTATAGTGCTGTACTTCCCAGAGGAGTTTTAACCCGTCCCCAAAGCGTTCCTTCAAGAGACGCAGAATACCACACGGACCCCACCACCACCAGCTCCCACCTCTAACATGCGCACCAACATTGGGTTGAGGCTGAGACCCTGCTTAACTTTTGGGCGCCCCCCGCCCGCCACCCCCCCACAGACCATCACTGGGACATCTCCAGCGCAGTGATGGCAATGGATACAGTAACCAGCCCCCAGGAGATCCAGGGGACAGGAGGACCTGGCTGCGCCAGTCTGAAAGGCAGTCTGTTTAAGCAATGACAGGCCCTGGGGACCCTGGCCCGGATGACACAGAATCAGAGACCTGGGGACTGCCCGTTTTGGACCCCAGGGAGGCTCTTTCCCTCTTACCTGTCCATGAGCACAAGGTCATCCTTCAGAAGCGGGCACTTGGAGTTGGGCCACATCACACTCACCAGGCTGCCAGCGTGCAGCTGCTCGTCCTGGTGAAGGGCATGGGCCAGCTGGTTCACAGTCTAATGGGGGAGGAGGGAAAGGAAGAGAGCTCAGGGCTGAGGAAGTCGCCAGGCAGGAGGCTGCCCGTGCAGCTTGGCACGCATGGTACGGCTGCTCAAGTGCAGCCTGACCTGCCACCCCTTCTTCCATTTCACATGGAAAAGCCAGAAGCTGGGAGCTGAAAGTCAGAAACCACTATTCTTCACTACTCTCTCAAAACTTCTTTCTTGGATGTTGTCCTAAAGCTGCGGTTATTCGGCACTGATGAGCTCTTTATGAACTGAAAGCAACATCTGGCCCCAAACAGGAAAGCAAATGGCTCTCAGAAAATCAACACGGACAGGCCGCTAGCTGTTGATTCAGAATCACAGAGCCAGAGTGAGAACCGCTATCTAGCAACTGCTCCGGAAACGGGGCACAGGTGCTCTTCACGGCAGAGGAAGGGGCCAGCCCCCCTGCTTGGCATCACGCAAGGCACTGGGGCCTCCTGACTCCCGGTGCTCAGGGTCTTCGAGCCTCCCTGAATCCCTGGCACCTCCTCGACAGCTCAGCTCCAACAGGGCTTCCCACCTCCCTCCATGGGGGGCACCGCTGTCTCCCAGGGGCTGCCGATGGCCGGGTCACAAGGGACGTCCTGGCTAATCTAAGCTCCAAGGCCGCCAGCACGCCCAGGGCTGTGCACTCCAGCTGGTGGGGACCCCCACGGCACCCTCACCTTGACACTCCGCTTCTCCTCCGAGCCCTCTGTGAGGAGGAAGGCCTCATGACCATCTGTGCCTTCGACCCGCAGGAAGCAATTGGTGGTGTGGCCGATCCCGGAGGGCAGAACTTTGTCCCAGAGCATGGCATTGATCACGGTGCTCTTCCCGTTGCTCGTCCTGGAAGGGGATACGGGCCATCAGGGAAGCTCCAGCACTGCAGGCTCCCACAGCGAGGCTGCCGGCCCCGAAGCCCAAAGTCTCGTTCTCTGCGGGGGCACCGGTACCCAGCCAGGCAGAGCGGCGGGTGGACAAATGCCTCTGGCCGGTGCCTGCGCTGTGCTGGTTCTTCATGGCAGCCTCCCTGCTAGTGGCTCCCGCTGAGCAGCCCCAGCACGCAGACACCAAACCACTCCTGGAGTCCGCTGGCCGCTGTAAGCCCCTGGCATCACCGTGGACACGACCTGTGCACCTCTAAAGGGGAACCCCCTTGGCTTCTACTGGAAACCACGGGCTCATCCCCGGGGCAGTCTGCCTCAGTCTGAATGACCTGAGCTGAATGACCCCAACGTCCCTGGCTTTCCACCAAAGGCCTATTTTCTTGCTCTTCTCTCATCGTGTTCCTTCTCACACGTGAAGCCCCACACTTCAGTCCCCAGGGTAACTGTCACGACTGGGGAGATGACTGGAGCGTTCTCGCCAGTCACACCCCTCTTCTACCTTCCAGTGAAGTGAGGGCCACATCTCTGAGACGAGGTTGTAGAAATGAGAGCCCCGAGGAGTGGAGGACCACACCTGAGGTCAGGGCCACGTTGATCTTCCTAACGAGCATGGTGACCTTTATTTATTTATTTTTTTTATTTTACTTTCAAGATTTTATTTATTTATTCATGAGAGACATAGAGAGAGAGAAGCAGAGACACAGGCAGAGGGAGAAGCAGGCTCCCCATGGGGAGCCCAATGTGGGACTCGATCCCAGGACCCTGGGGTCACACCCTGAGCCCAAGGCAGATGCCCAACCACTGAGCCACGCAGGCATCCCTAGCATGATGACCTTTAATAGAGGTTCCTAAGTGCATGTGACTGATTTACCAACCCTCCTTGCCTATCTATAAATCATACATTCCCTTTGTAGGAGAATAGAGAGCCCTGACACGTCACAGAACAGGCATTAGACCTCCTGCATAACCCTTGAGCACTGAAAGCTGTAAACAGGCACCACTATATTTACACAGAATCAGAAAATGTTATAGGTCCCTACACCTTCTCACTGATGAATGACCCCTGTCCCTTTAAAACCCTCTTGGCTAGGGGCACCTGGGAGACTCAGTCAGTTAAGCATCGGACTCTTGGTTTCGGCTCAGGTCATGATCTCAGGGTCATGGAGCCTGCTTAAGATTCTCTCTCTCTCTCTCTCTCTCTGCCCCATCCCCGCCCTCTCTCCCTGAAGAGTCATTAGGCAGAGTGCCTACTCCTCGGATAACGCCTGTGTGTATGTAGCATCCAACCTGTCCAGGTGCCTTCTCCCTGTGTTAGATTTTAACTTTTTTGAAGGCACTATGATAAAATAAGAAATGTATTGGTTTTTTATCACGCATTCCTGGCACTGAACTCTGAAAATCTTTAGAATTTCCTAAGTGACAGGAGTGTCTTTTGCCTTTCGTGGGAGCCCCTTTTGAGCACACCTGCGCCTATGCTGATGAGCGGATGGAGGGTGGCTCCCTACTCTCAAAATGGGTTGGTCACCAGAAAGACCAAATGAGAGCATTGGAACTTTCAGCCCCACACACCAACTTCAGGGAAAGGGGGCTGTGGATTCAACTCCATAAAAAATCTTGAACAAAGTTTGATGAGCTTCAAGGTTGATGAAGGCATCCACATGCCCAGAGCATGGTACTTCTGGACCTCACCCTGTGTACCTCTTCATCAAGTTGTTCTTCTGTGTCCTTTATACCAAACCAGTAAATGTAAGTCAGTGCGTCCTCAGCTCTGTAAGTGGCTCTAGCAAATTAACCAAACTTGAGGAGTCACAGGGAGGTCCATTGTACCGCCAATGGGAGAGAAGCACAGGATTCCCAATAGCATCAGAAAGGAGGCCAGTCTTGTGGGACTGGGCCCTTAACCTATAAGATCTGATGCTCCCTCCAGGAAGACCGTGTCAGAGCCTAGTTCCAACTACAGGATACCCAGGGTCTGCTGAGAACTGCAGAACGGCTCAGGGGTGCAGGAAACACTCCAGACCTCTAGTATCTACTATACCTCAAAGCGTAACAAGGAGATCGGTTGACTACAACTATAAAACTCTTGGAAAAAAACAGAGGAAAAGGGCAGCCAAGGGTGGCTCAGCAGTTTAGCGCCTGCCTTCAGCCCTGGGTGTGATCCTGGAGACCCAGGATAGAGTCCCACGTTGGGCTCCCTGCAGGGAGCCTGTTTCTCCCTCTGCCTGTGTCTCTACCCCTCTGTGTCTCTCATAAATAAATAAATAAAATCTTAAAAAAAAAAAAAAAACAGGAAAAGCCTCAGGACACTGAATTAAGCAAATTCTTGGATATGACACCATAAGTACAGGCAAAAGAGAATAAATGGCAACAGAGTAAAAAGGCAACCCTAGGAACACAAGAAAACATTTACAAACCACATGCCTGGTAAGAGGTTAATATCCCAAAGTGCCCCCTCTCCGTCCAGCCAGGAAGAAGTTGTGAGGGCTTCACAGACTCACCGGCCAAAAAAAGCCACTTTCATGTGCCGCCTGGCCAGCACCTCACTGATGCCCCTCACTTTGGACAGGTAGCCTTTGACGTCCAGAACCTGTTCTTCTGTCGTAACTGGGTCCAGTTCCGCATTCCTGTAGGTGTCTGGGGGTTGAGATTGAAAATGAGTTACCGCACAGTCAAGGCAGTTCCACAATCACAAGCCTGCAGGCCTCAGAGACCGGCACTCCCTGCCATCGCCTGCCAAAGGCCGGATCCCTACTGTGGGGCTGCAGCCTAGCAGTTCCGAACAAGGCCTGGAAGCAAGACTGCCTGGGTGCCAGTGCAAGGGAAGTACTGCTTCTCCCCTCCTCCCAGCTTTGCGACCTCAGGCAAATGAACCTTTTGGCGCTTTAATCTCCTGGCTCTTAAAGACAACAGGAGTGCCTTCTTCCTACCACTGTTGCAAAGATTAAATGAACAAAATACAGAAAGTAAACACTCGAATGTTAACTGCCAATCACTTGTATGTATTTCACTTAACGAACACAGTTTCACTACCTACCAGGCACTGTTCTCATCACCTTCCAAACACAGTCTCACTCACTCCTTGTCATTTCCCGGTCACACACTTTTTTAAATGGCAGAACCAGGACAGGGAGCCCGTGCACCTTCGCAAGACCCTTCCTGATCCACCCTGTTTACTGCTCCAGCCAGGCCTCTCACCAGCCCCATCTCACATGGCACCTCACCATGTCCCCACCCTCACCATGCTGCCTCCCCATTACTCCGGGCTTTGCTCAGTGCACCCCAACCCCTCCCTGCACGGATCCACTACCTTGAGGTGCTCTGGCTTATTCTCACTTAGCCTCGAGCCTAGCATGGACTGCACAGCCCCTGGAAGCCCTCCCTGGCTCTCCCCAGCCTGAGTCAGGTTCCTTGTTTGTGCTCCCGAAGCACGCTGTACTTCTTCCACCTTCTGCTTACCTCACCATGATGTAACTGTCAAGCTCACCTGTATCATCTCCCGTGTGGTCCCAGCACTTAGCAGATGCACAATACTGGCTAAACTAACAGGTACTGGGATCACTTCACTGCTTTTTCCCAGTGGCCTTGATAGGCAGATGGACAACAGATGATGGGAACAACTGAGCAAGATCCTGCCCCATCCCATCTAGTTCTCACACCAGGAAGGCTGGCCCACGTACACGGGTGTCTGGCCCCTTGGAACACGCTCACTGCTCAATGGCCTGAGTGTTTATGCCCCAGCCGTGGAACGGGTCATGATGGTGCAGCCCTCATGACTGACACTAGTGTTGGTATCAGAGACCCAGACAACTTGCTAACTCCTGCCATGTGGTTACCAGGACGGTACAGAGGAAAGACAGCAGTCCGGGAAGGTAGCCCTCGCTGGACGCCGAATCTGCTGGTGTCCTGACTTTGGACTTCCCGGCCTCCAGCACTGTGACAAGTAAATTTCTGTTGTTGATAAGCTACCTCCTATGTGATATTTCTGTCACGGCAGCCCAGGCAGATTAGGTGAGCTGTGAACCACTGGGCTGACAAGGGGCACTCGGGGACCACCCACATGATGCCATGAAAGGAAGTAACCAAAGCAACAAGGCCTCCCAGGTCCACTGGTCACCTCAGCCTCAGACCATCACCATTCCTCCCACCTAAGGGCACAGGGGCGAGGCCTCTGGAATGCACCTGGAAGGAAGCTGGGCTCTTAAACATGTGGTCACACCTAAAAGAAACAGCCAGTACACTGACTAGTCTTTAGAGTCCAGTCCCAAGGCAGTCACTATGCCCTCCCCTGGCCAGGGCAGTCCTAAACACGTCTCAGGAGCACTCCAGCTCTTTCCCTCCACCCACCAACAGGAGAGGCCTCATATTCAATCAAAACATCCACTCCTGATGCCAGCACAGAAACACCCTCATTAAGCACGTGCTCATCCACAGCACCACCTCAGGAAGTGCCTCAGAGCAGCACCAGCAGTCAGCTTGGGCTCTGGGAGGAGTGGCCTGGTCTCCCCCACCTCTCCATGCAGTGCCAGGCACACCTGAGCTGCTCCAAATAAATTACTAATGAACTGGAATAATTTCAACTACCAATCTTGTAACTTTAAAAATCAGATTTTTGAATTAGGAAACACGTAGGGAACGCCTTCTCTTGCATCAAGCACAATGCTAGGCAGGACATAGAGAGTCCATTCTCAGTCTTTGTTTGCTTAGGCCGCTCCAATGAAATGCCATGGACTGGGTGATTCATACACAACAGAAATGTACTGTTTCCAGTTCTGGTGGCTGGAAGTTTCAGATCAGGGCGCTAGCCTACTGGGGTGAGGGCTCTCTCCCAGGTCACAGACTTCCCGCTGTACCTTCATGTGGCGGAAGGCAGCTAGAGCACTCTGTGGGGTCTCATTTACAAGGGCACTAACCTCACTCATGAGCGCCCCCGACCATGACCTAATCACCTCCCAGAGGCCCCACCTCCTAACCCCATCCCATTAGGTCTTAGAATTCCAACATGTGAATTTGGGGGGCTACACTCAGACCATTGGCCTGGAAGTACCCCCTTTCTGCTGTAAGGGAGCTGTAAGAATCGGCCCGTCATGTGAACCAACCAACCAGAAGCCAAGACTCTCTAGGAGAAAGTGGAGGGTGAAGTGTGTCCCCAGGGCATTTCCACCCAACCTGGAGAGTTGTGTAGACTAGAACTTAGAAAGCCCCGGTCTCGCCTGAGCACCTCCTTCACAAACAGGGAAACCAAGGGCAAATGAGACTCAGCTACCAGGTCTTTGCTGACAATCGCAGACACAGGAGCCAATGTGTGCCTTCTAGACAGGGAGCTTGAGAAAGCCAGGGGCTGGTGTTGGCAATCGACTGACTGGGGCCCCGGGACCCCGCCCTCCTCTGCTGATCGAGCAGGGACTAGAGGCTGCACTCAAATTAGTAACTAGTGGAAAAGGTGTCAGTGACGCAAGTTTCCGATGCATGATCCCACTGACTATAAATACCAGAGAAAGAACATCCTGGTCAGGGACAACCAATGCCCACACAGGGCCTGGTATGCATGGTGGCCAGAACCAGGCCAGAGAAAACACCTGGGTTCAGGAGTCAGAGACACCCAGTAAAGCTCTGCTGTGTCAACCTGCTGGTACTGAGCAAGTCTCAAAACCCCTGTTTGTCCTCTACGTGGGGTAAGAGTCACCTACCCCTCACGATTCAATGGCACAGAATTCCTGAATGACGGGTCCCTTGTTTTTCTGGCCCCATCTCCCTGGAGCCCAATCCTATCCGATTCCAAGAGCAGAACAATCCTGAAGGTGACAACCTATCTGGGCAGGAGCTCCCCAACAGCCAGGCTCTACCTCCCCACCCCCAAATCCTCCCACCTAAATATGGAAATTGAGAGATGAGTGCGCCTGTCTCACCTTCAAGGAAGGTGGCGCTCTCCTGGATGTAGGCCCCAAGTTGCTCAAAAATGCCATTGATCTTCTTCTTGGCAGTGACGAAGTGCTTGAGTGGGGAAGCATTCACCTCAGCCATGTGTCTCTTGTCCTTCTTGACTGTGATGATGGAGTTGCACCGGGGGAAAAGCAGGGACATCGCGCTGCAAAAGAAGACAGTGTGAGGGAAGCCAGGGATGCCCAGCATGGATGTTCTGCTAGGGCTGCGGCAAGTTGCAGTGGGAGGTCTGGGGCCAGCTCTGGGGACCACCAAGAGCACGGGCCCTCCAGGACTAGACCCGGGTCGGCAAGATAAGAGTAGGATGCGACCGCTGAGGACCTGTGGGCAGTTTCCCTGTCACAGGGTACAGGCACTCGGCTGGAGCCAGGGCCCTGCATTGAGGCCTTGGGCTGGCTGATCCTCACCTACTGACCAGGGGCAGGCCCTGCCCGCACCCCCTCAGAGGGCCAGGCAGAAATCAGGAAGGGACACACGGAGAGCCCACCTCTCAGCCTTAGGCAGAAAAGCGTGACTAAAATCTCACTTCTTTCCTACACATCACGCACCTGAGAGAAAGCAATGAATACCGAAAACAGTGAGAGCAAAGTGACACTCAAGGTCCATGACCCCCAACACACTCCCCTGGCCAGTGTGCTGTCCAGGTCACGATGGCCCTAATTCCTAACAGTCTTTTGTTTTCATTTTTAATGGTGGTCGGGAGTGGACAAGGACGGGTGATGCTCAAATGACAGAAGTCTACTTCTGCTGTTGACTTAAAAACATGTTATCAGTCTCTTTCATTATAAATGTGTGCCCTCTAGAAAATGTAGAAACCAAAGGAAAAATCCGTAACCCCACCACCATTCTATGACAACCACTAAGAACACCTGCTTCTCAGCAGTCTGTTTCTGGGGAGGTAGCTCTCTTGCTCTCGATCACACACACATCTTTAGGGCTCATATTTTTCAAATAGCAGTGATATGTTAGGGGCTGTGAAGCTTAACTCCAAAGTTCTAGAGATCTTTGGTCAAACTCCAGAGAGGCAAACAGACCAGAGAAGGTGGCTGGTAATCTCTGCTCCCGCAAGTGCCTGCTCCTGAGTTCCCACCATGCACAGACCTACTTCCCCAGAACCCTCAGATCCTGGATGTCAAAGGGCAAAGGCTCCTCCAAGGATGGGGGTAGTGTGCACAGCTGTGTGTGCCTGGTCCTATGGTTCCACACCCAGTAAATTCTTTTTTTTTTTTTAAACATTTTTTTTTTTAATTTATTTATGATAGTCACAGAGAGAGAGAGAGAGAGGCAGAGACACAGGCAGAGGGAGAAGCAGGCTCCATGCACCAGGGGCCCGATGTGGGATTCGATCCCGGGTCTCCAGGATCGCGCCCTGGGCCAAAGGCAGGCGCCAAACCGCTGCGCCACCCAGGGATCCCCCACACCCAGTAAATTCTTGTGGGCCACTCCCTCCCCAGCCGCCCCCGTCACAGCACGTCAGCTGTCAGAGCCAGCACTCAGCACTCACTGCACCTGGGATGAGGAGGCTCACGAGTGAACACACACAAGAAATCTCCCAAGGGTGCCAAAGGTCACTGAACAAGCCCCTGAGAAGCAGAAAGAACATCTAGAGAAAGTGCAAAACAACTGAAAACTGGCTCTCAGGATTTAATCATCCCAGAGGGCAGCCCCAGTGGCGCAGCGGTTTAGCACCACCTTCGGCCCAGGGTGTGATCCTGGAGACCCAGGATCGAGTCCCACGTCGGGCTCCCTGCATGGAGCCTGCTTCTCCCTCTGCCTGTGTCTCTGCCTCTCTCTCTCTCTGCCTCTCATGAATAAATAAATTAAAAAAAAAAAATCATCCCACAGAGTGGACAGACCCACAGGGAAATAACCACATTTCACCTAAACCTACAAATTACTTCCTTAATGCTTTCTAGGGAGACAGGAGAGACAAGTAACTGTATGTCCATTTCTACCTTCCTCCTCAGTAAACCTCACAACTGATTTTCTTAGGGAGGAGGTCATGTATCACGGACTTCTGAGGTCACGTGAAAGAAGAGGAATTGGGAAGAAACACCACTGGCTCCTCCAAAGCTGAAGAGTGCACTGAAATCAGGCTTCACGTGGCCCCGCAGGTGAGACTCTCAAAGAAACAGGGGATGAGTGCAAAGAGGAAAGCATCAAAAGGAAAAGAAAAGGGTACAGGATAGGGTGCGATACAGCTGTAGAGGAGACTGTGGAATCAGACAGAGCTAGGATCAAATTGTCCTCTTTCTGGGCCACATAAACTTGGGCAGGTTATTTAACCTCAGAGCCTGGAATTCTTCATGTGCACGACAAGTGTGACACCACGCAGACTGAGGAGACACGGTACCTAGTTACAGGTAGTTTCACGTGTTATAAAGCAACAAGAAAAACTCCACTAGCAAGATCACATGACTCTCCCCTCAAATACCCCACCTTTGGGGAAGGGCAGAGACACCACCACCAACACACCCAGGGCTTCCCCACCACTGCCATAGGGAATCCAGTAAACAGGGCTGAGGATCTGCAGGGCCCAGCCCGAGAAGCGACTTGCTGGCAGGCAGAAAGTTCCCTGAGATCAGGGATCTAGAAGCATGTGTTTTCAAGTTCTGGGTCATTGTTGCCAAGCCCAAAGGATATGGAACCAAAAACGTTAGTGTTCAGTAAGTGTAAGATTCGAAGGCACGCACATTGGTCAAAGCTTCGTGGGTCAAGGTTACATGATCTGCTCGAGTCACACCAGTCCAGAAGCTAACCTGTTCTCACCACTCCCCGGCCTGCAGCAGCGTGCCCTGGCCCTCCCTCATGGATCCACCTCCAACCCATCCAAACAGTCTGATTTCTCTGGCTTAGTTAACTCCCAAGCTGAGGTTCTGTGTTTGTGTTGCTGCTTCTGGCCTGGAATCCTCTTTTTTCACCCATTTGGCATTCCTATTGTCCTTCTAGACCCAACTCTAGTGTCACGCTCTCTGTGAAGCCTTCCCTGACATCTCCAAGAAGGACATGCAACCTTACCAGACTTTTGGTTTTTTTAATCACAGTGTCTCCTCATCTACCCAATCAATGAGTTACCAGAAAGTCTGACAGAGTCGTGACCTACTTCATTTCCACTTTCTTCCTCCACAACCGAGAGAGAGACATGGGTGAGTTAGTGAATGCCCCTTACTGGGAGTGCCTTCTTACCCTTCCATCCCTGGAATACACAAATCTACTTTTTTCTCCAAGAGCAGCTTTTGGTGAATCATCTGTTTCTTAGTGTTTGGAGCTCAGGGAATCAAGAGAGTTGAACCTCTCATATTCCAAATCTGATCCTTCAAAGAGCAAGCTGGACATACATACATGCACAGATGGACCAAAGCTGCAGAATACGCACACACAAGCCAAGACAGGGCCCCCACTATCTTGGGGCTTTGCCTGCTGGCTTCCTATCCTTACAGAGTGGTAGGAAGCAGCTGGGTTCCTGTTCCTCTGGGAAGCCCTGATGGGCCTTACTTTAGGGCAGGGCTCACCACAGGCATGTGGAGGCCAGTCCCCCGGGGCCAGCTGTGTCAGAGTAGCTCTACTATCAACTATACATTATGTGGCATGCTTCAAGCTGTTGTGATAGCCACAAAATACTCTTCAAGTCATGGTTTCTGATAGTTTACAGAAACATTTCCCATAGTATGGTCCACAAAAATGTAGTACACCCAACACTCCAGGTAAAAATTTATAGACTTGCTAGTTTTTCCATAGTAGAAAAAATTTATAAAACACTACATACCATGGTCGGCCTCCATCAGAGCACATGACCAAGCAAAGACTTTGGAAAGGAAGGCCTGTTATAAAGACACTAGCTTAACTGTATTTAAGGCAACATTTCACAAATGTATCCAAAGGAACTTTTCTTCTATGTAACAGTTTTTTAAATCCTGAGGAACATACTTTGGGGAAAGCCTCATTCATCCTGGTACTTTCCCTCTCCCGCCCCAAGAAAGTGTTAGGGGCATGGTATTAACAGATGTTAACCTAAGACCAGAACCAAACCCAATTCTCAACTGAAAAAAAGCTTGACCTCGACCTAGGCTATTAGTTGAGGAGTATTAGGCCTCTTGCACGTGGGAATAGCAATAACAAAATTCACTGCATGGTGTGTTTGGATCCCAAGCATAGTCCCTGAATCCACACCACCTCCTTACCCAGTTTTATGCACAGCAACTCCTAGCAGGGAAAATAAAATAGGTCCACGGATCGTCTGCTGGCACAACTGGAGCAGAGGAGAAGCTGAGAAATTGAAACAAAAGAGTATACAGGGTAAAGGGAGCAGAGCAGACTCCCAGCAGAGCTGTGATAAGGAGCCAGTCTCTGCTGGGCAGAGAGGGGGAGGGAGGAGCCAGCATAGCAGAGAACAAGGGAGATAGAGACTAACTTCAAGGAGCCCAAAGATTCCAGCCACGTTTTGAACTGTCAATCTTTAAACAGGCTCTCTCCACTACCAGTGAAATCCTCCAGGAAGTAGAAAGGACATACAGTTTTTTTTTCAACACAGATTGGAAAACTCCAACTCTGTGCAAAGATGACCCCATCCAAGATATGTGCCACTGGGTGGCCAGCAGAGCACACCCCTTTCCATTCAACCCAAATCCACGGTGCCAGATGTCACAGCCACCACTTACTTTTTGGATAGTGAGGGACCTTCACAGGTTGGGCATCATGGGCATGCTGAAGTCAAAAATGACGATAAGGATCTGAGTTCTCCTCTGTCCGGTCTCTCAGGTTGAGGTTGACTACTGATTGTGTTGACTCCACCGATTCTGACTTATTGGAAAGGAAAAGGAGCATGTCAACAAGCAGCACGTTTGAAAAAGCGCACAAAACATGTTTAATCACGTTGGAAGCCAAACAAACTCATCCCCGAGGGAAGCTTAGTCATTGGCAACACTAGGATAGGATGTGAAGGAAGTGCCCTGGAGAAAAACACAACACACAGGTGGGGACAATCCTGCGTATGCACACACACGTGGTCAGCCGTGTGCTGGTGGGAAGCAGGAGCTCTGGGTAAAGGCAGGTCGAGAGAGGAGAGGAGAGGAGGTAGTGCAGGGGGACAAAGACTGGGCTTGAGGATTGTGAAACTGAGGCCGGGGGGCAGGGGTGGGGAGGAAGAAAAGTAGAACTTATTGAAAGACTATGTGTGGGGCGGCCCAGGTGGCTCAGCGGTTTAGCACCGCCTTTGGCTCAGGTCGTGACCCTGGGATCCTGGAATCGAGTCCCATGTCGGGCTCCCTGCATGGAGCCTGCTTCTCCCTCTGCCTGTGTCTCTGCCTCTGTCTTTTAAATAAATAAATAGATAGATAGATAGACAACTATAAAATAAGATAAATATAAATAAATAAAAATCTAAATAAAAAATAAAATAAATATAAATATAAATAATGAATAAAAATATAAAATATAAATAAGAATCTAAAGAAATAAATATAAATAACAAATGAAATAAATATAAACAAATAAATATGAATAAATAAAATAAATATAAATAAAATAAATAAATAAAAATATAAGTAAATAAAATAGGGATCCCTGGGTGGCAGAGCAGTTTAGCACCTGCCTTTGGCCCAGGGCGCGATCCTGGAGACCCGGGATTGAATCCCACGTTGGGCTCCAGGTGCATGGAGCCTGCTTCTCCCTCTGCCTATGTCTCTGCCTCTCTCTCTCTCTCTGTGTGTGACTATCATAAATAAAATAAATAAATAAATAAAATAAATAAATATAAATAATAAATAAAATAAATATAAATAAAATAAATAAAAAATCTAAATAAAATAAAATAAATATAAATAAATATAAATAAATAAAAATGAAAAAATAAATATAAATAAAATAAATAAAAACCTAAATACATAAAATATAAATAAATAAAAATAAAATAAATATAAATAAATAAAAATAATGAGGGATCCCTGGGTGGCGCAGCGGTTTGGCGCCTGCCTTTGGCCCAGGGCGCGATCCTGGAGACCCGGGATCGAATCCCACGTCGGGCTCCCGGTGCGTGGAGCCTGCTTCTCCCTCTGCCTGTGTCTCTGCCTCTCTCTCTCTCTCCCTGTGTGACTATCATAAATAGAAATTAAAATAAAAAAAAATCCTTAAAAAAAAATAATAAGATAAATATAAATAAATAAAAACGAAAAAATAAATATAAATAAAATAAAAATCTAAATACATAAAATATAAATAAATAAAAATGAAAAAATAAATAAAAATAATGAAATAAAATAAATATAAATAAAAATAAAATATAAATAAGTAAAAATAATGAATAAATATAAATAATAAAAATAAATATGAACAAATAAATATAAATAAGAATCTAAATAAAATATATAAATAAATAAAATAAATAAAATCTAGATAAATAAGTAAATGCAAATAAATAAAAACAATAAATAAAATCTTTAAATTAAAACAAAACACATACGAAAGACTATGTGTGCTGGATGCTATGAAAGATCTCACTTAACTTTCAATTCCTTGGGGCAAACAGAAGCTTGGAACCCTTAAAAAAAAAAAAAAAGGAAAGAAAGAAAAGAAACGCAGGAGGCTGCTAATTACTCCCTCGCACAGCACTGGTTTCTGACTCGGTGGAGCCGCCTTCCTCCACCCTCGCAGGTCGGGAGGGCGAACCTCTGAGGCTCTTCTGGGAGGAGGCGAGAGAAGCGGCAGGACGAGGGCGACGCAGGGTCGGCCCGAGGTCGGGCAGCAGGACAGCCGGGCAGCTCCCTCCCGGCGCGCCCCGGAGCCCGGTTAGGGACGCGCCCAGCAGCACCTGCCCTGCAGGGGCTTTACCTTCAGCGGAGGCGTCAGACCAGGGCCGCCCCGCCCGGGCCGCAGAGGCGAGCGCGGGCCCCCGCGAGCTGAGCGAACGAACGACGCTGGCGAACGCCGCTCAGGAGGCTGGAGGCGGGACGGCGACGCGGCCGCGAAGGATGCGAGGGCGGGGCGCCCGGGACCCTCCGGGGACCCCGCCCCCCCCCCCGCGGCGAGGCCGCCCGCCTGCCCGGCTCCCGACCCCCCGGCCTTCCTTCCAGGCTCGCCGGGCCGGGCCGGGCGCGTCCCCACCCGCGCGGCGCGCTCGCCCTCTCACCTTCACCTTCCCGGCCTCGCGGCGGCCATCACGCCCCCGACGTCATCAGACGGCGCCGCCCGGAGAGAGGCGGGGGGAGGCGGAGGAGGGAGGACGCGCGCGTCACCAGCGCCGCAGCTTCGCCGCGCTGCCCGCGGTCAGTCGTGCGCGGGGGCGGGAGCGGGGCGGGCTCCGAGCTCAGCCCGCCAGACCTCGCCACGCCTCGCGGGTCAGGGGGTCTGCGAGGCGCCTCCAGCCGGCGGTCTCACCGCCGGAGCGTCCCAGGCGCGTGACGTAAGCCTCGGGACTCCCGCTGCATCATGGGGGCTGTAGTTCCGCCCGACGCCTGTCAGGGCGGGGTGGGCGTGGCCTCGAGCTGTCGAGGGGACCGAGAAAACAAGGGCGTGGATTAGAGGTTCCCGCTTTCTCATGGATTGCCCCAGAGCCTGACCCCGAGGCCTGTGCCACCTCTGTAATCCCAGCCCGCGTATTGTAATTTTAGAGAAGCGCTCTTAAGAGGAGGGCAGGAGAAAAAAAAAAAAAAAAAAAAAGGGCAGGAGGCAAAGTTGGAGCTGGTGCCCTTCAGGTGACTTTGAGGAAGCAAGGACAGCAACAGGCACTGAACAGGCAGGGTACCTAACATGCATGGCCTGGAGGCTCAGAGGAGAGATCACCCCGGATCACATATGGCTGATCATGGGCCTCATCATGTGCCAGGCACTAGGACACAGAAGTAAACAGGTGGCCTGGTGGCCTCAGCCACAGCAGGGAAGGCCCCTACCAGTCACATGTGGCTATGGGGCCCCTGAGAGGTGACCAGTGCCCATTGGGACGTGCTGCAGACTTAGCACCAAAAAAAAAAAAAAAAAAATGTGGGCACCTGGCTGGCTCTGTTGGAAGAGCATTTGACTACCCTTGATCGCTAGAGTCATGAGTTTGAGCCCCACTTTGGATACAGAGATTACTAAAAACTTTAAAAAAAAAAAATCAGTAAGCTTAAAAAATGTGAACATGGGGACACCTGGGTGGCTCAGTGGTTGAGCATCTGTTTGCCTTTGGGCTCTGGGTGTGATCCTGAGGTCCTGGGATCGAATCACGCAGCATGCTCCCCACAGGGCACCTGTGTCTCCCTCTGCCGGAGTCTCTGCCTCTCTCTGTGTGTCTCTCCTGAATAAATAAACAAAATCTTTTTTTTAAAAAAAGGTAAACTAGGGGATCCCTGGGTGGCTCAGCGGTTTAGTGCCTGCCTTTGGCCCAGGGTGGGATCCTGGAGTCCCGGGATCGAGTCCCACGTCGGGCTCCCGGCATGGAGCCTGCTTCTCCCTCTGCCTGTGTCTCTGCCTCTCTCTCTCTCTCTCTCTCTCTCATAAATAAATAAATAAATAAATTTTAAAAAGTAAACTATTTCATTAGTATTTTTATATTGATTTTATGTTAAGGTGAAAATATTTGGATAAACCGAGTTAAAGAAAATCTATTACTAAAATTAAGTTCATCTATTTCTTTTTACTGTTTAAAATGTGGCTACTAAAACATCTAAAATGGCGTAAAACTGGCTCACTGTGATATTGTGGTTTATAATAAATGTGTATTTGGTCTTCATCCACTGTTTCTGTGACTTGAGTGTCTCTTGTTATTCATAAGGAGCCCCTTTCAACCACACCTGAATTTATGTAAATGGGGTAACTTTTGGAAACCCGGTAAATTTGGGGGGCGGTGTTGCGGGGGGAACCAACAAAGTGACTAGAGGGTTGGAACTTTCAGCCTCATTACCTGTAAGCAGTCTTGACATAAGGAAATCACTTTAAAAAAAAAAAAGAAAAAAAAAAAAAAAGAAAAATCACTTTAGGGGATCCCTGGGTGGCTCAGAGGTTTAGCACTACCTTCAGCCCGGGGCTTGATCCCGTGATCCCGTGATCCCGTGATTCCGGGATCGAGTCTCAGGTCGGGTTCCCCGCGTGGAGCCTGCTTCTCCCTCTGCCTGTGTCTCTGCCCCCCCCCATGAATAGATAGATAAATAAAATATTAAAAAAAAAAGAAAAGAAAAGTCACTTTAGGGGCACCCGGCTGGCTCAGTCGGTAAAACATGTGACTCTTGATCTCTGGGCTGTAAGTTCAAGCCCCACCCACTCTGGGTGTAGAGATTACTTCAAAAATGAAATCTTTAAAAGTAAATTAAAAAATAAAAAACTCCGATAAATAAAAATGTCTTTCTGAGTTATCAACATCAAATATAATACCGGTGATCAGCTTTTATTCTACCTGAGCTTATTAAACTCATGCACCTGTTGCAATTTGTCAACAAAAATGACTTAAAATGATAGTTGATTTTGTCTGTCTCATGAAGTTTCCGTAGGTAATTGTTGGGAAGAAGAAGGTTGAATAGATTAAAAGGTTTGTAGATAAACTTTATTTTTTTTAAGATTTTATTTTTAAGTAATCTCCACACCCAATGCAGGGCTTGAACTCACAATCCCGAGACTGAGTTGAACGCTCCACTGACTGAGTCAGTCAGGCGCCCTGTAAGTAAACTTTTAAAGAGTTTCCAAAATCTTTGGTAATTTAAAACTGTGAAGTTTTGCTAGCTTAAAGAAGAAATCAAGTTCAAGTCATTGGCTATCTAAGTCTTTTCCAAGTAAGATTCTGGTGTAACAGCTCACAATTGCTCACTACTTAGTTTCCACTAGAAATTAAGGTTTCCAAGGGTTAGGGATATAATTAAGACTACTGAAAATAGTAAGGGAAACAACTCTATGCAAGGAAAGATACGTGTTTCTGGTGAGAAAGGAATGAGGAATGGGAATACATTCTTTTTAAGGAAAAAGAAAGTAATTTTGTCCTAAAATGAGACGGGTTGTTTATTCTTCTTTTTCAACACTTAAAAAAAAAAAAACTTCTATTTATTAAGTAGTCTCTACCCCCAACATAGGGCTCAATATCCATGACCTTGAGATCAAGAGTCACATTCAGACAGCCAGGCACTCCCTTGGTTTACTCTTTTTTTTTTTCTTTTTGAGGCAGAGCACAAACGGGGGGAGAGGGAGAGGGAGAGAGAATCCCAAGCACACACCATGCTCTGTGTGGAGCCTTATGTGGAACTTGATCTCAGGACCCCAAGATCATGGCCTGAGCCGAAACCAAGAGTCCCTAAAGAAAAAAAAAAAAACCCTTTGTTTACAATTTCTAATCAAGAGTAAATCAAGAGGCGCCAAGCAATCTTTATACCCAGTGTAGGACTCAAACCTACAACCCTGAGATGGAGAGTCACAAGGTCCACTGCCTGAGCCAACCAGGCACCCTTACCCATTGCATTTTTGTTAATTTTAGTTTTTGTTTATTTTTTAAATATTATTTATTCATTTATTTTAGAGAGAGGGAGTGAGAGAGAGCACAAGCAGGGGGGGAGTGGAGGGAGAGGGAGAAGCAGACTCCCAGCTGAGCAGAGAGCCTGACTCCATCACAGGACCCTGGGATCATGACCTGAGCCAAAAGGCAGACTCTTAACTGACTGAGCCAGGTGCCCCCATGGCCATTTTTGAGTCTTCTGTCATTTATAAGTATTGTTCTGATGCTCTTATAAACATATTTAATCTTCAAGGAGATTCCTGGAAGAGACTTTTCATGAATACAGGTTTCTAATACACTTCAGATCATAAAACTAAACTGGAGTAAGAATTTTCGGAACTAATAGAAAAACTGCATTCAGACAAGAATACTGTGGGACTAAATGAACTGAGGACAATGATGATAGTTTTTATGACTCTTATTTGAAACATTGCCGGTTCTCTTATGTTTGCTCTTCCAGATTGAAGGAAACGTTTTCTCTTAACATATTTAACACTTACAGAAGTTCGGTAAAATACTCCTTGGCGAACAAATGGAAACATTTATCGTTTTCTCCCTCCGTGATCCCCTCTAGAATTTGGAAACTCTCAGCTAGTAGAGAGAGAGATTGTCTCCCCTGAGGACAATTACAGTTATTTGCATAAATTTGGTAAAAATCTGTTCTCCTTGTAAAAGGACACCATTGGAAACATTGGTTTACTATCTAAGGCTTTGATTGGAAGACCATATTTGAGAGAGACGTGCACAGACTCTGATGTGACCGGACAGATTTTTTTTTTTTTAAGATTTTAATTCTTTTCAAAGGTTTTATTTATTTGAGAGAGAGAGAACATGAGCCAAGGAGAAGCAGGGGGATGGGCGGGGAGAGAAGGAGAAGCAGACTCCTTGCTGAGCAGAGAGCCCATGGAGGGGCTTGATCATGGGATCATGACCTAAGCTGAAGGCAGACACTTAGCCAACTGAGCCAACCAGGAGCCTCAAGAATTTATTTTATTTTTTAAAGATTTTATTTATTTATTCATGAGAGACACAGAGGGAGAGAGGCAGAGACACAAGCAGAGGGAGAACCAAGCTCCCTGTGGGGAGCCCAATGCAGGACTGGATGCCAGGACCCCGGGATCACGCCCTGAGCCAAAGGCAGATGCATAATGGCTGAGCCACCCAGGTGTCCTGAATTTTTTTTTTTTTTAAGTAATCTCTATAGCCAACATGGGGCTTGAACTCACAACCCTGAGATCAAGAGTCACACACTGTACTGACTGAGCCAACCAGGAACCCTTAACCAGACAGCTTTAAGAACTAAGGTTGACTTTATGGAACCAATGAAACCTCTCGGAAAAAACAGCCTGATACCCTGCTCACAGGATTCCCAGAAACCTTTTCCAGGCAGCTTGCAACTTTAACTCTCCTTGATGCTGAAAACCGAATAAGCAATTAATCACATAATTCACCTAGGGACTGTTGTGTTTGCCCTCAACAAATATGCAAATATAAGCCTCCCTTTAGCAAACGGAATAAACTCGAGTCCTGTGAATCAAGTGCCTGGGTTTGTTGGATGACCTGGGTGTCAGGGTCAGCTCAGGATCAGTTCAGCCCTATCAGGACAGGACCTGACGTGGGGCTATTAGCCACTCACTCTTCTAGGAAGCTACAAGATGAAGCTCCTGGAATCCCTCACTAACAGCTACAATCCCAGGGACCAAGGTATTTGGTCCGTGCACCTGTAACTTGCTGGTAGAAACGTGTCTCTGCTAGGTTGCAACAGTCCACCTAAGTCCCGTGCTCCAGTGAGGATGTGAAAAGTTGCAGCCCAAGCCCTCTGCTCCCCAGACTTATCTAAATGCAGCACCAAGAGAGTTTCGCTCCTCGGGGCGCCTGGGTGGCTCAGTTGGCTCAGCATCGACTCTTGGTTTCTGCTCAGGTCATGATCTCAAGGTCTTGAAATCGAGTCCTGTATCAGGATCTGTGCTCAGAGCAGAGTCTGCTTAAGATCTTCTCTCCTCTGGGGGATCCCTGGGTGGCTCAGCAGTTTGGCGCCTGCCTTTGGCCCAGGGTGTGATCCTGGAGTCCCGGGATTGAGTGCCCCCCCCCCCCCCCCCCCGCATTGGGCTCCCAGCATGGAGCCT